TGCTAATTCTTCTTTTGCCTCTTCATTGCAATCTTTTAACTTAAATTGGTTTCATTAATAAAGCAAGACACAATTTTTTCTTGCCCTATAGAGGCTCAAACAAGAGCGTCTCTTGCGAGTCCTGAAAACAAATATAAGCAATTCGATCAATATTCCATTTCTTACCCATTATAACAATTACATTGAAAGAGGCTATCAGAACTAGCAACCTTAATTTGAAAGATTTACATGCACGTAACCGTCCGCTAAATATCTAATGTACATCGAATACAATACGTTACCGTCGATATAGAATTCATACGTGGTCGTCTAACGACATTGCGTTTGAAACCTTATTATTTACAATATGACCACTGCACGTTCCTGTTCTGGATTTGTCATTTTATGGCTTGTTTATACACAGTTTACTTACACCCCAGTCACATTTGTCGTACGGAGGGCGTGCGTCGACCGCAGATCAATTAAATCAGTGTATTTCTGCGGCGAGCGTAGAAAAACTACGCTCGCCTTGCGGCCTCTGTATACGGCGTATCCAGTTTTTTACAGGCCGCAGGGTCGCCGTAGAAATTATAACTCGGAGTTATAATATTTGTTCATTTCTGAGGTCCCCGTAGAAATCAACTGGCTCAACAAGATTGAATCATTATTTGTCAATGTTTCACGATCACTTTTCATTTGATATTAAATTCTAGCACTATGAATAACATTTATAAATTGTCCCGATGTAAATAAAATGAAAAAAAGTATTATTTATCAACAGGAATTTAAAATTCACCGTGCGGCTGCCGTGGGAAATGTGACTGCAAAAGTATGAGAGCGCAGAAATTCCACGGCGAGCGTAGAAATGTTACTGGCCGCAGAAATGATAGACCGCAAGGTCGCCGTAGGAAATGTGACTGGGGTGTTACTGTTAACAGTTTGAGTGGCTCTGAGGCACATATACTGAGAAATCACAAGAATGGACTAAAAAATATGAACTTGGACATCTCAGTCGGTAAGTGTACAGTTTATATTCCGCTTCTCGTAGACCACCTGGCAGATTTGACCCAGTCTTTATAACCATCCATATATACGTCACCGAATGGAACTAGTTAAAAAGGAAATCTTATCTGTTAATCTTGCCTACAGGCGAGAAAGAGGACATGCTGTCTTTCCCATCCGCCATTTTCAGTTGTTATCGTTACCGCAAAATTTTGCAAATCGCCTTGTAGTAACCGTCATGCTATAACACCGTGAAAACGAAGCAAAGGGGACGAATGACAGTTTTTATTTGTCCGAAAATTATTGACGGATAGCCTTTGCATTCGTTCGACTTCTCTTCTTAAAAGAGAGCTTCGTCTTCAGTTTAAAGTAGTTTATAACTACTAGACTATGTGCGCAGGGTAGTTGACGGATGGACTTCCTGAAAAAAGTATACACTGCTTCAAACAGATATCAGAGGATCATTGGTGGATATCAAGCGAAGGTAACTGCCGTCACTTTCGCACTCAAGATGGCAGAGGAAAATGGTCGATTTCGAAATTTTTAGTTTTCATCGAATTAAACCACTTTATATTTGACATTATGCTTTTATATTTGAACCAAATCAGGCTTATATGACTTGGATACTCTGGAGTATGATCATTTGTTCATATGTCGTGCATGGATGCCACATTTCAACGATATCTTCCACCGCTTAAGGGGAGGTTACTGGAAATGAATGATACGGTAACGGTCTTGTTGGTTTTCAAGATGATGCGCGGTTACTGTATTAAGTCTGTAATTTTGCTCTTGTTTCAGGCCAAAAAGATTCACTTGACCTTATGTGCACGTTTTGTAGAACAACAAGGGAAAGTATAGCTATTTTGCTTGACCACACCTTGGAAAGTCATGTGAAAAACTCATTTAAATGGGAGTGTAAAATTCTATTTGAGCCAATTATATGCTGAAACAAGTGCGTATCTTCAATTTAAGGATTTAAGCCCTTGACTCTGAGCAATGTGGAATGACCCTGAAGGTATTACTTTCCAAAAGCACGAGTCTCAAATTGCAAACTATTTTCCCTCTTGACAACCATTGAAAGAATGACCTTGGATGCAGTGATTGTTTATATAATAAATTGCAGTTATATATGAAATACTGTGAATTGGCTTGAGTCGGTTACACCTTTCATCTTTGCCTAGCTATGTAAATAGTAATGACGATGTCGGTGAGTATTGATCTTGGGAATCAAGATAGTGTGAACCACCACTGTTATAAAGCACGATTTGCTATCTGAACTAGGACATCTTATCTCTCCATTATAGACTCCCATAACGTTACCGCATCACCACAAATCGGTAATCGTATCATCTGCAAAACCCAAATCCCAGAAAGGTATCGTTTAATTGTGGCGCTTACGCACAATATATGAACAAATTATCATACTCTGGAGTTTCTGCGTTATATAAGCCTGGTCTAGTACCAAATACCAAAGCATTGAGTCAAATATAAAGTGGTTTAATTCGATAAAAACTAAATATTACGAAATCGACAAGTTTCGTCCGCCATCTTGAATGCAAAGGTGACGGCAGTTACATTCGTTTGATATCCACCGGTGAGGATGTTGGGCTATTTAATTAGAGTGAAGGATACTTTATCTGTAGCTGATATCCCCCTGTTTATATCATAACACATGTGGAAAAAACCTTGGCACATAAAAAGTACAGTATTCACCCTGCTATGGGATAACTCCACAGAGGGCGCTAGTGAAAAGGTAGACAAAAAATCTAAATTTAAAATCGGGATGATGGTTGATTGAAATCAAGATTTATCAATGTAATCACAAGTAAAGATGTACAGATTTTACATTTTATTTTGTTTATCTTGTGTGTTTATAATTTTACAAAAAGTATGACGAAATGATTCGGTTCAGTTCAAATATTTGACTTTTTGTGATGGTGGTCTTGAGTTTGAAATCTACTGAAAATTGTTTAAAATTCGGATAGATGGCGGAAAAAGCGGTCATATCTTTTTTCTCAATGGGTGATCTATGCAAATTTTTTTGATTTGAAAGGGGACACATGGAGCTATCCCGTGGTATATGGAGTTATGTACCGAAAATCCTCGTTTTTTCATAATCAATATTTTCCCATTGGATTACATTAGAGCATCTGTCTGTGGAATTGTCCCTATACTGTAGCATGACGGTTATGCCACCTCTGACAACGAGGTTGGACGGCTACGTTCACTGATTTATCCAATAAAATGGCCGCGATGGAACAGAAAACTAAGATTGGTGCATTATTTTCTACTGTTGTGTATCAATGAAAGGATGGACGATTTATGTAAGCATCCGCATTCCCAGTTTTTATAACCATCCATATATACATCACCGAATGGAACTAGTTGAAAAGAAAATTTTATCTGTGAATCTTGCCTACAGGCGAGAAAGAGGACATGCTGTCTTTCCCATCCGCCATTTTTTGTTATCGTTACCGCAAAATTTTGCAAATCGCCTTGACGTAACCGTCATGCTATAACATCGTGGTATTTAATCAGCTAAAAGGTGACACCTAACCAGTTTATGGCTGATTGACTAAACTAAAACCTCGTCAAATTATGCCATCAAATCAAAAATCAAACGCTTATAACATGCGAATGAATCATGATGCCAACTGATAGGCCTAATGCATCATCCTACTGCAGTGTTTCACCATTTTGTGTTGATATATCGTTGTAGTCTCTAGTTCCACTTTTTTGTGGACGGTGTTAGGCGGTAGACGTCCGGCGGTTGGTATTCTGCGTTCGGTGCTTCGCATGCCAATGCCTTGTTTCATTAAATTCATGCTGGAGTAGCTCTGGCTGCTAGAGATGTACTGGGTGTCAAATTAATATGTTCTCCCCTCTTAGCTTTAACAATGTTGCATTACTTTTTGCTTGTATAATGATATCATAAATTGTTCTTTAGCACATTAAAACTACGCTTGCTTGGTGGAGCAAGAAGTCCCAGATGACTAGCTCAACTAGAAGCAATTTTATGCATAATGTTCATCTTGTTTAAATTAAGGGGGCGTATTTATTTGACACCCTGTAGTTGAAGCTCTCTTTTAGAAAAGTCAAAAATCAAATCAGTTGGACGCTGCAGTATTACTTTCCACTTTACCAGAACCTTACCAGACCCATTGTACCAAAGGACTATATGCACTGCAGGTTCAATGTTACTTTACTTCACCGAAGCGACAAGGGCTTTGTATAAAAAACCTCCTACCTCATACCCACCTACCCACGTACGTTGGACATGATACAGTCTTTGAAGGGTTCAATTTTAAAGATCTTAGTTTATTAAATCTAAGTTTATGATGAATTATAGATGCATTTGTAACGACCCTTGATAGCAAGTTGCTACTACAACCCATCTGGGTTCGATTCCCACTCGGGGCATCGAATTTAGCACACTTTCTTTCAATTTCTTTATCTGGCTGGTTGGATCTATGCTCGCGGTCGTTAGTTAGTTATTCCCCTTGGGTGCTCTCCAATGCACCCATATGCCTTTATTTATGGATCTGTCATCCGTCTAGTCATGGGCTCTAATTGAAAGCCCATGGTCTAGTCATAAAATAAAGCCGGAATTGTAGTTATGTTAATAATTAGAGCTTTTTTGGGATTTAAAAATCTTTAAAATTGAACCCTTCAATGACTGTATCATGTCCCACGTAGGTGGGTAGGTGGGTAGGTGGGTATGAGGCTGGAGGTTTTTGATACAAAGCCAGCGACAAGCGACAAAAGGGAAACTACAAAAAAGCCAAAACACAGGGATAAAAACACGGGATGGGAATGTCTAATTTAAGAGAGGAACCGGAGCATGACAATATTTCAAGCGATGCATTTGTATGGGCGATTGGTCATACGTATAGGTTGGCGTTTCGATTTTATATGCAAACTTAAACTCCTTACTGTTGTTTACAGGTGTATAATGAACACTGTTGAAACTTGAGTATGATTTATTCAGAACATTTTTTTGTACATAAAAACTCTGGGGCACTCACTCCAAGTTGTGTTTTGCGTTGTCGTTTACTACGTGTACATAATGTCATGTATGCTTTTATAAGCGGCCTTCTCTCCATTGTTTTTTATGGTGACCTGGCTGCAACCTTTTTCTGTATCATTAGTTCTAGTTTGTATTTTAAGACCGCCGGCCAGGTCCATAAAGAACTGGAATCATAATCTATGAAAGTTCAGCTTCTTTTACAACATCAGCTCAGAAAATTTCAATTTCAAATAAAATCTGAATATATATATATATAAGTAGCTTATACATTAAGTACAATTGCAAATTCTACTAAACAAACCATATTTTCTCCTATCTTAATTAGGTGGTTATCATATGTTGCGACTGGAGCTAAGGCATGCTGCTTCCGTACAAAGCATTCTTGAGTATAGTAGGACTGAGTCGGTCAGTACAAAGGCATTCCACACACCATGTATCTCGTGATTTGATAGTCCTTGTTACATGTGAATTTATAGCTAGAGCTTGTCACACTGAACACCCAGAATTTCAGTGCTGGGGCCAAGAGGCGCATAAAATCACAAGCCTGTAGACCATACTTCAAGTCAAGACTCTGACGATTGGTCAGGTCGCTCTCCATCACGCCCGTCAGGATATAGACCTCCATTATCATCAGCGGGAGCATGAGAATCATGACTAGTATAGTACACGTTATCATCATGATGACGTTGGTCGTGCGTTCACTCCTTTGAATCTTCATGACGCTTGACATCTTTACCATCTTTCCGGATTTCCCCTTGATCACCTGTTTGCCTATGTCTACAAGCCGTATTATCATTGTGGCGTCTAGAACGACCATCACTAGAAACGGCAAGAGGGATCCAATGACGAGATAAGACCAGGCCCATAGCTTGTGATTCCCATCCGCTAAGGCAGAGTAAATGGTCGTATTTGACGTTGCATCGAAGTACGTAAGATTAAGGGCAGGTCTGCAAGTGAATTTGGTTTCATACTTGAAGGAAGGATCGTCAGATAGTTCCCAGACGAAGATTTCCCGTAAGTTGTAAGCTAACAACACGATCACAATGACTGACATGACCCCACATGCGACAATACGCCGACAGTATACCCTAGCTCTGGCGGGACTGAACAGGAAAACGAGTCGTTCAAATGTGGCGGCAATTAGAATCCAATTACTGCACTGTACGATAAAACGAAAAATATAATTGAAGATTTTGCAGCCGGCCGGGGATGTATCTTCCATTTTGATTTCGAATTGGAGTTGTAGAAACGCGTCAAGGCCCTGGATGTTTAGCCAGATCGTATCCACAACAGCCACGACTATAAGATACATGCTCCAAGATAATCTACGCAGATCTTTTCCCGTCAATACGCCAACAGACAGACCATTGTGGATGGTGCCCAAGCCAGCGCAAATCAGAGCTGCAACTTTAACCCAATTTTGATTGGAGTCCTTTGACAAACCATCTTGGACCAAGTATGAAGGGCTGGAAAAGTTGTTTGCAAAATATGACATGATAGTTTAATATGTCTCTGGTCAATCGTCTTAGAACTGAATTCGAAACGACCCTCTCTGGCGTATTTTGCAATACAGCAATTTCAATCCTTTTTCAAAGCTCTTAGTAATTTCGACGTTTTTAGCGAACAGCGATGTGTCACCTAATTTCTCCAATTTGTTTTTAGAATGACTTAAGAGTTTGGAGTACCGGTGGTTGTTCTAATGTTCAACTCACTGATGACATCCAAAGCTCAAAGTTGATTATTCCAGAGAATCCGACACCCGGGATCCGACACGCATACCTATTATGGATCCGTGATGATGAGCATGTGCCATTACCTGATGAATTAAAGGTAGAATCTATCAAACAAATTCCGATGATAATTTTCAATTTGCTTTTTTCGATCGTTCTCCGGTTCTTTCTGAGAATTAGATGATTAAATTAGGTCCGCATAATAACCTTGTCATTGTCAAAATATGAACGTGTCAGCATATTGTAATCCAGTTTTTGATTGTTTTGATGGTGAAATAACGATTTCGGGAACATCGATTATGTCGATTAACTCCAAATTATATTTCTATCTTTTCGAAATATTCGAGTATATCAAAAACTTTAGGGCTAGAGAATGTATTTCAAAAATGTGGAATGTACTAGTATATAAATAATGACTAATGACACAGCTAATGACATTCAGACATACCAAGAAATTAAGACTTAGCTTTGAGTCACTCCTTTATTTTATTTTTTATTTTTTTATTTTAATTTTATTATAGTGTCATGAGTTAAAATACAATTACATATTTAAAACAATAGTACACTGTTAAAATCACCCCAGGCCCCCTATGGGCCTATAAGACACTTTTGTAAAAACATATTAATCAGGTTTTGTAAATAAAATGTTCCCGTCGCTTAAGCATCCGGTCACAGGCTTTTGCTGTGAAAAGACAAATTCTGTCATTAGACATTAAACACTGAAATTTACTCTCTTCATCTAAATTCATGAAACCAGTTACAATAGTAGAAACGTTTGCATACAAGTCTAAACGGATGTCTTCATAACGAGAACAGTTCAGAATTACATGTCTTTCGTTTTCAATTGCAATATCACATAAGGGACACACCCTTTCATCAACTGGCAGCCTTTCATACCGACCAGTTTCTATTCTTATTGGTGCTACACCACATCTTATTGAGGCAAATGCCTTTCTTTGAGAGATAGAAAGCGTTGATGTAATATATCTTTCTGTTTTTATGTCATGTTTATAGGTTCTAAAAGTTCTGAGTTTGTTTCCTTGACCTTGTTGCCGCTTTGAATCGTCCCAGAGTCGTGTTTGCCAGTTGTTCTGCACTTGACGTTCCAGAGGTGACACAATCGCCGACACCGGGTCGTCATCATTAACCTGGAGAGAATCGTAAACATTTATTAGCTGAATGCACATGCACATGCGCATTATCACCATCACTTATAGTGGCGGTGACATAAAAACTGAATGAGGGTGTTAATTTTTGAATGTTAACCAAATATACATGTACATTGACTTTTTGTTATCCTCATATCCAGATATTTTTGTGTGATTCTCCCTTTAATATCATTTTCATAAATTTTACCAGCAATCAACAAAGTTGATGAAATCGTGACTAGTGTAATAAATATTTTCATTATTATTAGCCATTATCCAGATTAAATCCTTGATAAATATTTTGATGCCCGATCTGTGTGTGAAAGAATATGAATCTATTTTCAGGTGAGGGTGTGTTCGATCTTAAACAGCATCACTTCTGATAATCTGGGAAACATCATAAACGTTTAATCATTTATTTCAAACTTAATATTTTCCAGGGTGCCTTGCATTAATTTGTTTGTTATATTTTGGTATGTTAATTCGTAAATGATACAAATCACATTTCCTAAACACAAAACACTTCTAGTGATTTCCAAAAACCAGAAACTTTTTTTGCAAGGGTTTCGCAAGGTCAACATTTTGACCTACTTTTAGCACCTATTTGGCTATTCATCATGTCATATTATATTATATTATATTATATTATATTATATTATATCATATTATATTATATTATATTATATTATATATTATATTATATTATGTTGTACACTGTGATCTGATTGGTTGGAATGTGATACCAATAACCACGGTAACGCGATGTCTTTACTCTGTCAACACAGAAAGTTACCCCCCTAGTAACATCAGCAAACGTTTCATATACTTGCTTGGGTTGACAATTGTCACATAGTCGTGGCACAAATATTAAAATTTGTCAGTTTTGCCGTAAAAAATACTATCGTGTGCCAAATATCTTCATAATATAAGCTTAAAGGGGCACGACAAGGTCTGTAGAGAGAAAAATTCGAAAAATTTACTTTTCTAAGCTATCAAGGCAACATTTAGCTTATCAACATCTTCTTAGACATACCAATTTTCTTAAAATCTAAAGATAAACTATCAATTTCAGCATTAATAAGTGTAAATTCAGTTCAAAGCTTCTGTAAAGGGAATCCCACTCCACCATGTTTCAAAAGGAATATCAGCTGAAATAATATTCATCAAGGAGGTTACTTTGATGAAATATCCAAACTTAAATATATTTTGACACTGGTCCATGATACTTGAATGGCCCTTTTGCACTAATTGTTTCACCTTTAAAGTCATAGCTTCCCTACGTCAACGCAGAAAGTTAGCCCCAAGTTACATGAGCAAACGCAGAAGTTAGCAACATTTGGACAACAAATGGGACAAGCAATTGCTTTCCTCTGTTCAATTTTTCTTTTTCATTTGTTTAACCAATGTTCACTCAACAGCTTTGAAACAATAGGCTAAGTCGGTAAGGCAAATTAGAAGGTAGTGTCAAATTATTACAGAAGTTGATTTTAACTGTGAAGTGCGATTGGAACGTTTGCACCCACCCGAAAAAAAAGAAAAATAGAAATTATGTAAAATTTGTTGAAAAAGACAAAACTATAGTATGTATGTATAGCTTTATTGCCCTAATTTAATTAGGAGATACATATTATTTATATGCAATTAATTACAACAAATATAATAAAATTAACATATGGACAGACAACCTATTTACAAGATGTTTGTATATATATAAATATATAAATATATAAATGTGTGTCTCAGAGTCAGACAGTGTTATCTATTTTCACAGCACTGAGATTATAGTTGATTTTCACTAATTCTGCAACATGTTTCAACTTCAACATAGTATGTCGATCATTTGTACCATTAATGCCAAGGATTGTGTCACAATCAAATCTCACTTTCAGTTCAGCCGAATTTGGCCAGTTGCTCTCTGGCTGGAATGTAGCATTTAGCTTTACAGTAAAATAAGAAATGTTATACTGTTTCTGTCTCAAATGAGTCACACATTGTACATAATTTGGATTTGTTATCTCCTCCACGATATTTACTATTGAGCATATGTTCCCCAGTTAACAGTTTGAAAATTATATTACAAGAAGCCATGGCGCTTGGAAATTGCTGTGCCACACACCACCAAATATTAGGTTTCAGTGTATTAAAGTTCAATTTACGAAAGTGATTTAAACCACTGTACACTAGGCTTTTTGTATATGTTCTCTGGAGTTGAACATCTGAGACTTTTGACAGAACCATCCGTTTCCATGCATAAGTTTACTAATATCAGAGTTGCCATATAAAATATCATGCCATCGACTCTTAAGCCATATGTCTCTACACGTTGAAGCATTGCTTTTATTGCTTGAAATGCTTAGAATGCACCATAAACAATGTAAATTTGTAAGAAGTAACTAACCCCCTTTTGGGGTTCACAATAAGCTTGTACGCTCCAGTGAACCCCATAATATCGCTCCCCCTTGCTACGCCCCTCCATTATATATTAAATGACTGAGACGTATCCATATAAAAATAGTTCACGATTCTCACCCTGTGATTCCGTGCTCCCGAATAGCCCATTAACACACCCGGTGATCGTGAAAATGGGACGGAGGGGGGGGAGCAAGCAATTTCTGGTAGAAAAATGAACAAATCTGCAAAAATTATTTTTTCAAGAAAAGGTTTATGATTTAATTGCTAAACGAATAGGCGCATGGTACGGTAAAATATGTCGCGTATTCTACGAATTTTTTTTAGCCGATTCTCTTCTTAGGTATAAGATCTATTAAAAAAAGGCGCAACGCCACCAACGTGCAAAAGTCAATGTTTTTGCTTTAAATCAAGCATCAACGGTCTACACAACCTGCAATAAATATTTGTAAGTGACATTATCATCATAAAATTAATGACCTTAATGACTTTACAAAATATGTTTCCATACGTTGTATAAAAAATAATCGAAAATAATTAAAATGGGACGGAGGGGGGGGACGGAGGGGGGGGAGCAATATATCTATAAGATATGATATGAGATGTTACTTGATACTTTATATCCAGATTTTCCCATTATCTCCTCAATTACAAAGGGTCAGGAATTGATAACATGTTGTACTTGTTAGGTTTAGTTAGAGGGGTCAAATTAAGGTTGGCAAAATATTCCAGGAGACTGTTTATCTATAAATGTTTACCTGTCTTAACGTTTTTACTTGCTGATTTGTAGGCATATCATACACAGCACATCACACTTTGGACATGTAAGTTTCAGCGAAAATGTAAGTTATTCACAGCGAAGTAACAATCTACTTGTTATGAATTATGCGATATATTTTAATTATGCAGAATTGAATAAATACAAGAAGCTCACGCGTCTCCAACTCACGACCTGATGGTTAAGACGTCTTTGTCAAGCTGAGATTCTGGCGCTGTAGACTGCTCGGCCAACTGGCAATGCCAAAAAAACATGTTCCATCAGCCGATCTGACTAGAGAATTTACACTTAATAGTCTGCTAGGAAGGTTCCCAGTGAATGTGCCACATTCATGCCATTGGTGCAACCCCTATTACGCCAAAGAAGCGTAACAAGTCATTTTTTGAAAATGAAATAAAAATTTGTTAATTATTTGAAAATTGTTTTGTGTGCTTATTAAATCAGTAAGCCATATCTCATCCGGTTTCCATTTGGACAGGCTCAAATCGTTCTGATATCAATGTTTTTGCATGCTCAAGATTCTTTATTTTGAAGAAATACAAATGCAATCTCAATGTATGTCAATATTTTCATTGACCACATAACTTTAAATCTAAGCAATATAGTTTCTATATGCATGGATTGTCGCTTGGTGCTATGGTCCTGGAAAGTGAAAATGGAACTTGAATGGTGGTGGTATGTTACATTGTTTCCTTCAATGTTTGATTATTGTGTGGGATAGTTGGGTTTGTTTTCCTTATGAATGGTTCACATGTAGATGTCTTCCAATGGCACTCGGGCATACATATTATTTAGATTCACCAACAACAATTTAGATACACCAACAATAATTAAATTTATTCCAAACGCCTGGGGAGCATGCAGACATGTCCCTAGTACTAAATAATCCAAGGTTATACATACAGGGTGGGCCAAAACGCCACTGTAACTTTTTTAATTTTTGATATAAAATCATAATATGCATACCAAATAAAACTTGGGGTTGCCATCTAGCCATGGGTTATGAATTGTACACTTTTTCTTGAGTAAAATATGTAACCAGCGTCTCATTTAAATATGTGGCGTACCATGAGAAATTGACAACGAATACAACTTGTTATCGAATTCCTAACCCATTGTAATTGAGGAGAAAATGGGAAAATTTGGATATAAAGTGAAGTAACATCTCTCATCATGTCGTATAGACATTTTGCTCCCCCCCCCATCCCCTCCCCTCCGTCCCATTTTAATTATTTTCGATTATTTATTTATACAACGTATGGAAACGTATTTTGTAAAGTCATTAAGGTGAATTTTATGATGATAATGTCACTTACAAATATTTATTGCAGGTTGTGTAGACCGTTGATGCTTGATTTAAAGCAAAAACATTGACTTTTGAACGTTGGTGGCGTTGCGCCTTTTTTAATAGATCTTATACCTAAGAAGAGAATCGGCTAAAAAAAATTCGTAGAATACGCGACATATTTTACCGTACCATGCGCCTATTCGTTTAGCAATTAAATCATAAACCTTTTCTTGAAAAAATAATTTTTGCAGATTTGTTCATTTTTCTACCAGAAATTGCTTGCCCCCCCCCCCCTCCGTCCCATTTTCACGATCACCGGGTGTGATTAATAAGTCGTAACGAGTATGACCTCGCGCTGTAATACAGCGAACATGCAATCGTTCGCATTTCAAATTTCCCGCAAAAATACATTTCATGACTAGAACTAATTTTTATTGTTGGATTTATTGAGCAAATATTTTGAATTCCAATATTTAACTTGATTACATACACATAAAATTTGAATGCGTATGTACTATTTTTATTTAATTTCATAGTTTGGATGGAAGAATTGCGATCACTATTTATTGTTATGTTAGTTACTGATTAGGCTTGCCATGTAGTCCGCCATCTTTGTTGCTAGTCAAACTTTTGAAAATCTTTCGTCTATCAGATAAAATGGATATAAATATAGTTATGTTGATTATTTTGAGATACTGAATCATGCGGAGGAAAGATGGGTGACTGTCCAATGGTATGTTTGGTATATGATCAAATCTTTGATTCAAATATCCTATAATTGAATGTCTGGGATTATTTGTCAAATTCGCTCGTCTTTTTTTGAAGAATGATTTGAAAACATTTAATGAATATTTTGAATATGGGAAAATTGTCTCCTTTTTCGGAACTAGCCAGATGAAACTGTGCTTGCAAAATAACATTGAATGAAAACCAATGTAGTTACTCACTTCGAGCATGGACTTCTAATCATTCTGCACATCGCTCGAGAACACAATCTTGTGTTGTTCAATTCAAGCATCTTGCTTCATCAAGCTTCGGACCTATCCTCAAACGAACGTAGTGATTGAGCGTGGGAACCGACGATGCAATTCAAGGGCCAACTGTAAGATTTATAGCTAATGAAAGCATATACAATGGTTAACAAATGGGGCAAATCTTGTTTACAAATACTCACGGCAATGTGTCATTATGAGGATTGTTCTTTGAATTGCTCCCATTTTGCTCCCAGTTTGGGGGTTTCTCTAAGTCTATCATTGTTAGAGAAATGACGTCACATTACATTGGTTTTTCACAAGGGAGGGCTATGAGTATTATGTCATCAATATGCGTTGGATGATATTCCAACGCATTCTCCAAATTTATCTTGTTATTCCCGTTAATGGTGATTATTAACTATCAATTAGACAACAATTTTGTGTTGCTGCCAAAGTTTAATTTTAGCAACGCACAGACACAAATGGCCGATGATAAACAAACATTTAACACAAAAATGTTTTGTGAAATCATTTTATGTTGGGTGCATGAATACATAGCACCGAAGTGGAACCCAATCTAGCATCAAGAAAATTCAGATTTATAAATTAAGCAAGATTGGGTTTAACTTGTTGAACTCCCAATGTAGATGTAGATCTACACACATGTGATTTCTTGAAAGCCCATGAAAGGTCATGATAGGCTACACAAAGGTATATTTAAAGGAATACTTTGCGTATTTTCAACGTTTTTGGGCAAAATAAAGACTTATACATTTGAATTTCACTTACAATCTGAATGTATGTCCAATGTATTGATAAGAACCTTATCTTTCATTTGACACCAACAACAGCTCAAAAGGATCACATCAAAACTTACAATAAATATAAAAAAATATTTTCGCCTAAAAAGGCTTATTACTAAATACCAATCGAGCAAAAGCACAATAACATTTACAGATAGTCTTGAGTCTGCCTATTAACAGCCAATCCTTTTTCTTTCAATATTAGATATTAAAATTGTGTATCGTTCTACATACAATTGCATATTTAAAAGAATTAATCCTTATCTTAATCTGTGTGTTGTAGATTCATGTATGTGTAGAAAGCAATGCAGAGAACCTTATGACAGGATTGGATCTTTTATAAAATTGTGATAAACTGGAGAAGGTCTACAAAATGGATTCCAGTGGGGACTCAAATAACAATCTATCAAATACAGCAGTTCAAGATGATCTCATACGTGGCAATGAACAACCCTATATCAAAGATAATCTCAGACAGAATAATAATACTGAAGCTCTTGGTGATACAAAAAATGAATTCACAGAGCATCTTAGTGAGCCCAATGTCAAAGGCTTCAGTAGTATTCTGACTTCTGCTAAACAAAAAACTGAAATCTCCTCTGATGGGAAACTACAAAATAAGGATACTCAAATGAATGAGATTGAATTGACGAATGGAGAACTACAAAATGTGGACTTGGAATTAAAAGAGGATGACATTTTTAATGAGATCAAAGAAACAGTGAAAAGGGTCAGAAGTAGACATAATTCTGTTTCGTCGACACAAAGTTCAGAAATTGGAAGTACAGATGGTCCAGTCATCAAAACATCTATTAATTTTAATTCTTTGCCATATGGATTTATACCCAAAGCTACATATGAACATAATAAGAAGTATACAGATATTATGGGAGGTAAATTGATTTTACATTCTCATATTAAATACGTTTCAGTTAAGTAAGATATCAACAATATGTAAACAATTATTTATTTTATGTACCAAGTCAGTAACAATATGTGCTGTTGTATGTCCATGTAAGTAAGCCACAAATACCATATACATGTACTAGTTTCAAAAGGTCATTTTACTTTTTTGTCATCACTACTATGCTTTGCCATCTTGTCCTTTTGCATTAAAAACAAGTAATATTATGTTTATTTTATCATAAACATCACTTGTTCCAGTGGCCTACAATGGCAGGATGCACCAGTTTATCATTCTGGATACCAAAGGTGGAACTTGTTGGAGCAAGGATGCTGTGGACAATCAAGGTAATGCTTTAAAATGATATTTACTGTGATGTGTCTGTCAAATCAAGTTAAGTACATATATAGTATATATTGTTGACATTTTGTTTTATACCCACTACACCCCCAATCCGCACTCTGAAATCATGGTACTGTATGGTACGTTTGCACGGTACTGTGCGGTACATTAAGAGTATGGTACCTTATGGTACCGTTAGATATTGGCTGTGTACAGTACATTACCATGATTGGAAGAGCCTGGTGCTTAGGCTCTAAATAGGAGAAATAAATATTCAATTTTGATTGCTGATAAATGAACTGCTGTGACTTATAATGACAGCTTCAATATAAAATACAATGTAAATATCTGTGAGTAGCCCAGCTGGATTTGAATAACTGTATCCTGCTTTGGTTAGGCTAGATCTTAGGACAACAGTATATCTATTCTCTATTAGGTTCTTTATAAAAAGAACATTTACTATTTTACTTGAAAATTTGTTTTATTTTCCAGTTGACAGGGTGCTGTCATACCCAAAGTATGAACACAGGGTAATCATTGACATAGTGTATGCCAAGAAGCATAATGTTTACTTTGCACTAGGAAAGGACTTCTCGTTAAAGGTACATACAGTATAGTATACATGTACATTAGGGCTGCCATCGAACTCAAATGTCAGTGTCGACAGTCGAACTCTGCTGTCGAAAATATTGTCGACAATCGAACTTTCCAGGGAGAAAAAATCATCGGGAAGTAATTGCCTAATATTGTTACTAAATGCCAAGTTAATAGAATATTATAGACGAAAATGGGACAAATACCTGCAATGTTTCGACCGGGATTTATTTCGACTGCTCGGGCGAAATCTCGTACAACGTCTCGCAAGAGAGAAGAGAAGTCATGAAGGGAACTTCCGGGTGAATTTATTTTTTGAAAATGAAATGAATGTGAACAATATTTCCGCAGAATACGCGCACATAACACGTTGAAATGTGTATTGAAATGTATTGGGGCCATTTGGATATTTTCAAGTAAGTATTGATATCGTTTGCTGTCGACATGACGGGAATTTTTGTCGACTTCGTTGTCGAACTTGCATTTTGACTGACAAGTCGACGTTCCGACTAATGATGGCAGCCCTAATGTACATACATGTTCAAATGCAATCTTTGACAGTATACATACATGTTCAAATGCAATCTTTGACAGGCTTTTAGTATAACAATCTATCAAGGTATACCATAAGAAAGTAAATAGTAGATAGGAGTACAGTAGTACGTGTTTTGAATTCTCAACTTGGCAGAGTGCTCTTTGAATTCTGAACTGGATAAAATAATGTCATATAAATTCTGACCTGAATTGCCCTTTAAATTCACAACTGGACAAAGAATTATTCAAATTCTAAACTGGATAAAGTGCCCTTTTAATTCTAAACTGGATAAAGTGCACTTTTAATTCTAAACTGGATAAAGTGCCCTTTTAATTCTAAACTGGATAAAGTGCACTTTTAATTCTAAACTGTATAAAGTGCCCTTTTAATTCTAAACTGGATAAAGTGCACTTTTAATTCCAAACTGGATAAAGTGCACTTTTAATTCTAAACTGGATAAAGTGCATTAATTGCTGTTTTAGAGATGTTCATCAATGCCTGTCTGTTTTATTCCAGGTGCTAAACAGAGATTTCTATGAAGTGTGTTCAGTGAGTGCTGATCTCAGGTCTGTACTCTTTATGCTCTTCAATCCTGTCAGAGATGAACTGATCACTGGTGGAGTAGGAGGAACACGGGTGAATACCATTTCCTTCTCTCATTTTGAACAAGTTTTAGGGTTAATGTCTATTTTCTTAATCATTGCAATATTCATTATATGAAAGTAAGGTTTTGAAATGTACTTAAAGGGACTTTTCAAGCATTTCTAGCTAAAACTATTAAGAGTCTTACAGTATTTCAAATATATATGCATGCACATTTTACATTTTTGCTCACCCTTATCTTGGAATTATCTTAGTTTTAAAACAGTAAAATACAATATGTTTAAGATCTGGGCATTTCGACAAGTGGCAGAATCCAGCTTCACAGAAATAAAAGCCATGGCTAACTACAGATTACAACTCAAGTAAGTAGAATTTCAAAAAAAAAATTATTTCCTGTTCTGAGTGTTCTCAATCATTCAATTCAATTCAGCTTTATTTTCTAATATTTAGTATTATTTACAAGGTTTTACATGACACCCTTGTGGTTGTATACAGTATAAAGAATATGTTGCTTGAATAGTTGGTATATGATAATCAGCTGATCCAATAATGACCACTAACTAAGACTAACTACATGTATAACTAGTACACATTCAAAGCAATAAATTGGATTTAAAAATCCAGGCCCATATGAAATGTCAGTGTTCACCAGGGTTTTTCATTTCTGGATGCAAAATCTTATTTCATCAGTATTTATTACTAAGCTATTTATTTTTTTATCTTTTAAATTCATACAATTTTTCATAATCTTTCAAATTCTTAAATGAGTGCCAGGTATTCTCCAAATGTTCAACTGTAAAGTACCAGACTGTTTTAATGCTGGACAGGTCACTGAAAAAATATTATACAAATATTTAATTCTATTGAGGTGAATACCTGTGCATCTTTCACAAGTGATATTCCACGAAGCCCGAAGGGCTAGTGGAATATCATCTTGTGAAAGTGTCACAGGTATTCACCGAGAATAGAATTAAATATTTGTTTTATTATATCACTGTCATAACATCTTCTATAATTAAAGTGTTCTCCCTCAATTGATCGTGCCTCCAAATAAAACTGGTTCAATATTTCATTCAATGTCGATTTTGATACGTTTTCCAAATCAATCACATCGTCTTTGCTAGATATCCAATCTTGAAAGATCTTCACTGATCATTTGTTGCCTTTATTGTGTTATCTGAATGAATATTCCCATGGATTCTATCAATTTCTTCAGCAGAAATATTTGGTGAGGAATATGACAGTGATATAATAAAAATAGTTATTATAATAGCACAGAAATATATTAACATTGCAGGTATGAACTGGAGAATGTTGGAGGTAGCTGGGTAAAGAGGGTTGAGCTGGACCAGTATCTTCAGCACCTGTACTGTTGCTCAGATACTGACCTTACTGCTTACGACCTGCAGGGAAACCAGATCTTCAAGTTTGAAAAGTAAGTAAAGCTTGACCCTTAAACCCTAAATAGATAACTGGTTTATTAACTCAACAAGAATATTTGGTTTGTTGGTATTTTTTCGTTCACTTTTTTGAGTAGATCTTTCATAGGTGGTCCGTGGAGTAAACAAGAGTGGAGCATAAAGGATTTTGATGTCGATATAAAATGTAAACAAAGAAAAAGTATTTATTTGTTTGTTTTATGACTGTCTTTCAGTGCCCATGCCATGTCTATCACAGGCTGCAGATATTCCCTCCACTGTAGACTCCTAGTCACGTCATCTGTGGACACTGAAGGTAAATATTGGTATATGTATAGTAATATGTATAGATATAGGCCCATTTGCCTCATGTGGGCACTGGGGTTTGGGGAATCCTCTACTACCAGAGATCTTACTGGATTATTTCATGAGGTTCAGCTTTTTTCAGATACTGACCTTGTTCCCTTATTATAACATCATCTTTTGTGAAGTCATATGAATTTGTTTTCAGTGAAAGTTTGGAGTATTTCTGGGGGTCATATCCATACATTCAGGGGGCATGCTAGGGCCATATCTAACCTGATCTTGCACCCTGATACATCGAGCCTTGTCCTCACCTCCTCTTTAGATGGTACAGTGAGAATGTGGTCTCTCGACACCATGGACTGTCTATACTGGTAAGCTCCTTTTCTAATGCTAAGTTGTGTAATACAGTAAAACTTGTAAATGGAAACAACTGAGATAAACACCTAAGTAATGTGAACACTTTAATTGCTTTCATGAAGTATATGAGTTTTATTGTACATGTTCATCATGCCACGCAGATTCTCTATCTCTGTCCTTCTAGACATCTGCGATGCAAAGGGAGGGAGAAGCTATGAACATCAAAACGTATATGCTCATGTGTTTTGTTATTTTAGAACTAGGAAACCACTTACATGTGCATATAACTACATTTGTGCAGTTGTTTGGTATATCCAGCTTTTTATTAAGATATCTAAACAAATCAATGTACTGTGTTTAATATGTGTTATTTTAGCCTGACTGTGTCCAGTGATGGAGTATTATGGATGGGACTGACAGATGAAAATTTGTTGTACCTCAGTACACTTCGCAATATCACACTATGGTCTGTGAATAACGTCACTCAGTTCTGGGCCATGGCTCGCAATAAAGTCAACTCCTTGTCACTAGTCTCAGGGGAGGATAAGTCTACTAGGGTCCTTGCCATTGGAGAAGATAGTAGGTGAGTTGTCAAGATTAAGAATTTTATATTCCAATTGAAGATTTACAAATCATTAAACATTTCAGACATTTTAAATGATATGAGAGTTAGCATTGTTATATTATTGTTGATATCCATAGTATTTGGAAAATATGAGATTTCCAAGAAATGTCTGCATTAAAATATCTGCACTGTTTATTTTCAGCATTCGTGTCTTCGCAAGAAAGACACAGAAGAATATGTCGACAGTTCTCCCACCCCCCTCCCTGTCCCCATTACAGCATGTGAAGGGAGTGGCCTACAATCGTTCATTCAGCCTCATCTTTGTACTTATCACATATAAGGAGATCTGGGTCTACACAGCAAGGTTGGTATAATATTTATATTTTGTAGCCACTTATTTTTGAGGCTGGCATTTAATTTCAGCACCCAGCGTCTGTAACAGTTGTTACTCTTTTGTAACTGTAACCAGGTGGCCAATTTTGCCATGTTGATGCCTTGTATCATTTGTATTTATTACTCAGGGCTCCAGTTTTCATTTTCAAGTTCACAAATAAAACAAATATTGTGAATGACATAGTGTGCTCAGATGTATGATGGGGTTAAGTCAAGTTTTGAATGAAGGAACTGATGTAAACGGAAATGCTAAAATATCCTCTTAAACTTTAGAATAGCTCTTTCCATATAATTTGATGTTTTATGTCTTATTTTTAAACAATGTCTCTAACTAAAACAATCTTCTGTAATAAATTAATAACTTTAAATATTTTCTTAAAGAACTGACCCAGCATGTAGAATAGCAATATGGGATGTAGGACAGCTACAGGAAGCCTATGTATTAAGGAGTAACACACCAGCTGATGAGGCGAACAATGGGGGTCAGAAACCAAGGTAAATACTGATTGGAATCACACAGGTAATTTTATACAATTGTATACTATTTCCATTTGATTATTTTGGGACATCTTTCATTCATATTTGGATTTCTTTGTTCATTTGTGAATATCTTTTCATTTTACAGGAAGTCAGCTGGTATGTTCATTGTAATATATTTATTCATCATTTTAAGGAAGTCAGCTGGTTTGTTTATTCTAAACCTCTCATCATTTTAAGGAAGTCAGCTGGTATGTTCAGTGTAGTAATTTAAATCTAAACCTCATCATGTTACAGGAAGTCAGCTGGTATGTTTGACAAGAGAGGTGTGGTCCACAGGTCCTCTGAGAATGGAGTGGGGAATGAGGGCATATGTGAGTGTTACAGCTTATGTGCCCTCAATTCACCAGTCTCATATTGGGGAGAAGAAGGCTACTGCTGCCCTATTAAACAAAACTTCCTTTTACTTGGCCTAGATGTAAGTAAATCTAACTCTTATTTAAAATCAGACATATTTTTTTTAATTCACCACTGCTCCTGTCTTTTATGTGTTTTAAGTCATACTATATAATTGATAAAAGTAAGAGTGATTGTAGTTTCACCTCCAGGTAGCCATTATAGAACTGTATTTTGTCACTCAAAACTTATTTTATTTGCTCAAGTTTATGCTTATTTAAGTTAGTTCAAATATTTAGGACATGTGTATTATATATCAAATCAAAGCTTTTATGAAATTATTCAAGAAAAGTTTCTATGGATATATCAATGGATAGGATTCGTGGGCTGACAATGGATTAGTGGGCTATCAATTGGATAAGTGGGCTGACTTTTGTAACTGAGTGTGCTTGACATCAATTCCGTTAGATGTAATGCTTTAGACTGTAATTGATATTGCCAATGTCTTCTTGTAGGATGGTCGAATATTATTCATGGATCCAGTAATGAAGGGACAGAAATATATGGAATTCAAGGCCAGCAAAGATGCTGTAAGTAAAGCTTACTCCTAATCATTATGCATTGCTTACTCCTAATCATTATGCATTGCTTACTCCTAATCATTATGCATTGCTTACTCCTAATCATTATGCATTGCTTACTCCTAATCATTATGCATTGCTTACTCCTAATTATTATGCATTGCTTACTCCTAATCATTATGCATTGCTGGAACACTTACTGCTGTATAGTCTCGTCAAATATGAAAATATCCATTTTAGAGACTGCTGCAAAAATCTAAGTTAACTACTATTCAATAGCTATGTGGTTAGATGTCCCAAACAGTTCAGCTCTAGTGGTATATTTACTAAATACCGTATGTGCCAATCTTGATATTTCAACATTCATAAACACAGTATTTAGTTCCTATCATCTGAGTGTCAATCATTGTTCTTGCTGTCATACTATATGCAAACATTTCTTTTCTTTACAGATACTAGATTTAAAGCATGATGCTGTATATAATACACTGATCACAAAGTGTCACAGCCAGGTTGCAGCCATCATTCAGATTTGGTCTCTGCCACAACTTCAACTCCTGCATGACATCTACACATCATTTGATATTGTTGCCTATGCCAGATTGGTAAGTTGAAACTCTAATATTTTATTTGAGTGCCATGATTTATTATGTCACCACCAGAAGTATCGTTATAGTCTCCAACCACCAAATGGTGTTTGGTGGTTGGCGTTTGGCATCTGTAACAAATGGGAGGTGGTGACATTTTGCATGTCAGTGCCTTGTTGCTGTCCATACAATGTTGTCTTGGGATTGTAAAATAACATCATCAAATCTGAGTCACATCCATCTTTTTATTTCAAACCCAAGGGTTTTCTATACCTAGCACATTGGATCATTGCCGAAATCCTGGGTTAACAATTGGGATAATATTTTCAAGCTACAAGGTAATTCAAAGTTCACTTATGTTGTAGGAGAAAGTACTACTGAGTGGACATACAACAGGATCAGTTCTACTGCATAATCTTCTACCTACAGAGGATGTGGGCCCTCAGAAACCAAAAGGTAATATAGAAGAGATACACAAGAAGTTTACTCCAAGATTACTCTGTTTTAGGAATAACATGTATTTTCTTGTGCACATTGTCTTCCTCACGAGAGGACATATAAACACTATGATTTACAGCAGTTCATTTCTTTATTCTGATTTTTATCTGTCCATAATATCAATTTGACCTGTCATTGCCAGTTCCCATCACCAGTTGTTTCATGAAATGGGGATCATTGAAAATATCAAAAAGGATTAGTCATCAGACACTTTGCAAAATCAACAATTTACTGTATGAGTAGGGGGGGTCATGGGTACTTAATGTACTGTTTCATAGGGGTTGATTTTGTTCACTAATGTTGCCCTTTGTGCTTTCTTTCTAGTTGTTAAGGGACTTGAGGAGATGGCAGCACCAAGACCTGGGGAGAATAATGAACACCATGCATCTATTGTTAGTGTAGATGTTTGCACAAAACTCAATATATTTGTAACTGCAAGGTGAGAATATTTCACTTTAAGTGTCACCTCAGTATTATGATCAGAATTGATTTTGCATAGCCTCAGTATGGATGACCTTGTATTATGTTGAATAATGTTAAGATTAATGACCTTGCATAACATCAATACAAATGACCTTGCATGATATCAATATAAATGACCTTGCATGGCTTCTATACCAATGACCTTGGCTTTGAATGACCTTACCTGACCTCAATATGAATGACCTTGCTTGACCTAAAAATGAATTACCTTGCTCTGTATTGATGAAATGACCTCAATTCAGTCGACCGGGAATGTATCTTTTTTCTCTTAAACGTATTTCTATCCTTGATATTTTGTTAAAATATATGACTTCTTTCAGCTGTGATGGAGCTATTAAGATCTGGGAATGGAACAAGACCCTCCTGACAGAGCTGTTTGTAGATGATACCCTCACATCTGCATGTTTCTTGAATACAATTGGAGACCTTCTGATTGCCTACAATAACCACATATTCTATATAGACCATAGTAAATGTAAGTTTTGAATACAATGGGAGACCTTCTGATTGCCTACAATAACCACATATTCTATAGAGACCATAGTAAATGTAAGTTTCTTGAATACAATTGGAGACCTTCTGATTGCCTACAATAACCACATATTCTATATAGACCACAGTTAATGTACAACTGTAAATGTAAGTCACCAGATTCAGAAATTAATTCATCTATGTTCTATTTATGAAATACTGAGTATTGAGAGAACAAATTGAATTTTGGTAAGGTACATGTTATTAATATTACAAGAATATATTCTTTATTTCCAGTGTGCCCAACACTTAGTAGAGATGTAGTTGATGATGACTGCATGAATGAAGTGGGTAAGTCTGCTCTTGGACTTGTAATGAGTTGGGATTTATTAGTCATAGGCAAAGATAAAGTATTGAATATAAAGATTCTTATAAACAACCATTGGGTCATTAACAGAAACTTTGTAAAATTACGAATTTGTAAATCAGTTGTTGTAACTATGGATATAATAATGTCATAGTTAGAGAACAATGGATTTTACGAATTCTTAACTTTCTGTTAATGGCCCCATGTTTTTAAATTAATTTTTTCAATTTCGTATCTCAACGAGACTCTTTGTTTATAGTATTGCTATTTTGATATTTGCTCAATGTCTTGAAAACATACCTGGGTGATGGAGAAGTGTGTCAATTATGTAAAAAGTCGACTATATCAAGACTAATCTTATTCTTTGTAGTTTGGCATCCTCCAAATGCAGGGCTTCAGATCATCCACACTGTTCCTTCGTAATAGAGAGGAACCGAGTGGAGGATGTCTGCAGCCCTGCATTTGGAGGTTGTACTTAATAAAGTATTTCTTATTTATTAATTGTTGAATGGCATCTTGTTTCTATAGGGATAGGACTGCTATTGACAGAATGGTACCAAAGGTCTCCATATTTGCATGTTCAATCTACTTTATCACAATATTATTCTGATTATAGCTGTTAATTTCGATACACCTACATGTAGTCATGATTTCAGTTTTATGATAAATCAGCTAAAACACTGAGGACCTCTGGCTGCATTTTTATGTCACCACCACTTTTTTTGTGGTGGCGGTTGGTGTTTAGAGTCCGGCTTTTGGCATCTGTAACAAATGGCATGTGACATTTTGCATATGTCATCGAAAGATGTATAATATCAATGATTTCAAGAGTATTTGTGTTCTGGAATCTTCAGCCATCTGTATGTGGCATCACGACAAATATTGATACGCAGTTTAAGCATGTTTCACCTTTTTATAAACAACGGATTTGCCCAATTTTTCTATTTTAAGCACCTGATTATTTTGTACTTTTGGTTTCTTAGCAACAAGTTGTCTCAATTCACATTGATATAAACAAAGCAAGAATTTATAATGTAAAAAATTTAAATGTTATTGCTGCATTTATTTATGGTTTTCTGTATACATACTCTATATACAGGGTGTTTACAAAGATCTTGAAAAAGTGTTGTAATTTTAAAAAGGACATCTCTGATCTTTAAGGAAGAAAATATAGTACAGGTACATGTACGCTCATATATGTACTAAAAAGGGTTCAAGGAATAGAATTTTGCTAATCTATTTAGAAAAATTAAAGCATTTTTACGAGGACTTATAATGAACTCCCTGTATAAGCATGTTGTGACACACGGCATTTTAGGAACTGCATCATCAGTTTATTTGCTTCATCTTTGAGTATGAAACCTTTACACTAAAATCATTAACAGATCAATGTACCATTTATATGTTTCATTACATCATCTTCCGAAGAATATAACTGCATGTTAGTTGCAAAAATCTGAATTGTGTGATTTAAAGAATATGAGTCATTTATAACTCGTTATTTGAATACAGCATATTGTTTGATAATGAAAACACAGTTGGAATAAAAATATATTTTTTCTTGATATCAATGTAAATTAAAAATTTGGTGAACTGCTCAACTTAGTTGAAACGAATGATGATAGTGTATTTATTAATTTAATCCATTAGGATCATTCAAAAAGTACCACACATCTAAAATCTAAAATTAGGGGATTTTATTCCAGTGTCATGGAACAACAAATAGCCATGCCCAATCACTGAGTTTCATAGATATATACAATCTTTATTGTAGAATCTGATGTATTAGAAGACCCTTATGTGAAGTATGAAGGAATGGTGCCCAACCCAGACCCAATTGACCTGGAATCCTACCTTGTACCCTATAGCATTGAGTTCTCTAAGGACTTCCTGGAAGGCAAAATGGCCCTGGAGGAAGACAATGTAGAGCAACATATGGGATCAGATCAGGTACAAACAATAAAAAATTGAATGATAATGATAAATAAATAAAAAGTACAAACATAATTCTGTTTCTTCATTCAATCTTCGTGTCCTCTATTTTCCATTCACTGGTGCAAGATTCCAATGAAGATGTTAGTGCAATGACACAGCTTCAAATGCAATGACACAGCTTCAAATGCAATGACACAGCTTCAAATGTTCGTTTAGCACATCATTTTAGTCTTGCATAGTCCTGCCATCTCGTTAATCACTTCTTCCCAAAATACTGGCATCTCAGTTTTTCACAATCAAGTAAATGTCATTGATGACATATTCTGAAACATTACATTATGTTTTGACATATGGAGAAATATCTTGATATTACACATTACTTATCTGATGATTTGTTAATAGATCCCTTTAATGGCTCAAGTGATGACTCCTTGGAAACCATATTTTCTAATGAAATTACCAAGTGTTCATTCCAATTCAGTTGTTAAAGATGGAACTATTTGTTTTATAGGAGGACTCGGATGGAACTGTGTCCGATCTGTCTTGTGCTCCAACTGACATCTACATATCACCCGCGGGTACCCCTAGGCGCCTCTCAATGCTGGACCTGACGTTAACTGATGCATATAGCAAGTATGATCTAGATGATCAGCTTGGACTCTCTACAGCTGAGTTGCTTAAAAGTATGTTTCATGCTTGAATTGTATAATGTACAAAAATTAATGAAATGATCTATATTTAGAAGTTTTTCTTGCAATTGAATATTACTATTTGGTAAATAATAGGCCTCCGTGCCTAGCCTTTTAAAATGATTTTTCAAAAAATGTTTTTCCCATTCGTTTTGTGGTTTCCTTATTTTTAAAATTTTTGGAAAGATTTTGAATACAGTTAAATACAGAAAATGTTTTATAGTCTCACAAACTGAGAAAACAAAATCGGTATCACTTGCATGTCTTCAATATCATTTGCATGTTTATGTTTTATCACTTGCATTTGTTTTTACATTTGATATGCATGAGTGATGATATGTAATTTACACACATGTTGTAGCATCCATGCATATTCCTAATGGTGTTCGTGTGAGAAAAAAGAGAGGTGGTATAGTCTATAATCCTAAAACATCATGCCATTGACGTCATATTTGGGTATACATATAATTCTGGGTTTACTTTTATTATTCATAAGCAGATTGCCATATGAGTGGGCAGGTGGGTACCAGGCGGCGTTGTTTTAAAAAAATTTCTGCGCATATTAAGAAAAAATGCGCGATGAATTAATTAGAAATTTTGAAGGATGTTTCTTTTCATGAAAATCAAAAAGTGATGAGTTTTGGGCATGCTGGGTATTTTAAGGCAGCCAGTTTTGATGTTTAGGTACAATATTTTTCACCTCATGCCTTTATATGATAAAGTGATTGATTGATATAACAACACAGATTCTTTATACCAAATATGATGTCAATGGATTGACTGAGTGGTTGTGATGTGATGTGATGTGATACACCCTTTTAAAGACATATAACACTACACCAAACCATATCTTATATATTTCCTCTATGTACAGTCCTTGTATTTCATATGTAAGGTTTCTATCACAATATAGAACTTGATACCAAAATATGTTCTGACTCTTAACACATCTTTCTGTCTGAAATCTTCTTCTGAGTTCTACCTGATTTACTACTAGGGAAATTCTGACTAAATTATACATTGAGAACAATATCTATAAATAATTTTGTCCCTGAATCCTTTTATTGTGTATTGTATTCTAAAGTGTTTCACTGTTTTTAACACTGTACGCTCTTTTAAGTGCTATCTTATAGTTTTTATTAAACATGATTGCTATGTTCTTCATCTTTTTGTAAATATGAGCACCCACATATATGTACATGTAAGTGTGAGTGCACCCTCTTGTATACACATATTACCTATGCTATTAATGTACAATTCTCATTTCAGAGTTCTTCTTATTTCAGTATAAGAATACACTTTGCTCTTATAGCGAGATCAATAGTGCAAGAAAACAGGCAAATAGTTCATTCATGGAACGAAGCATGAAACTTTCCACATATCATCAGAATACCATTCCCTTTGATTTAAGAGCCAGAGCCATTTTTGTGGTGCACTAGAATGGTCAAAAAATAGTAAGTACCCCCTCCCACCAAATCCCATGTGGGTGGGGAGTTAAAGGAATATTTTTTTCATAAAAAAAATTCTTTGAATATGGTCATTCTACAGTTTAAGTGTGCTATTTTCATGGTAAAGAAATTTTGCAAACATAACAAGATGATTTATCATTGATTTCCATCATTGTTAAAGACTAATCATGGGCGACGCCCACTTTTCATACCTTGAACATTTTGGTTATTAAATCTCTATCATGGGATGAACAAATGAATGTAATTCAGTTTTCTGGATAACACCAGATACCTTTTTGATGTTAGGTGCTATAATTAATCTTAGCATTTGAATTCTTAAAGGCTTAGACCATATCACACCCCTGTTTAGAAGAAGAAAGCAAGCAACAAATGTCCCAGATCTACAACATGTATCCACTATTCTATGTACATGTATGTCGAGTCTCTATATTCTCCTGAAGAGAACCTATGCTACAGATACAACTGTCCAGGATCTAGATGATGATGTGCTTCAACAGTTTGATGAATGGTGTGCTGACCAAGTGCCTAAACAGTTTTATAAATGGCGTGCTGACCAACAGAATGTACCAGTCTTTAAGCATTGGTTTCTGATTATTCAAACTGAAATACTGTGCCTTGACTATGTGAGGGCTATAGGACAGGAGAATTTTCCTCTTTATTTCCAGATGGTTTCTCTTTGATTTTCATAGTTGTTAAAGACTAATCATGGGCGACGCCCACTTTTCATATGCTGAACATTTAGGCTATTTAACCTCTTTCATGGGTTGAACCAGAACCAGAACCAGAAGGGCCGCCACGCATCAGATGCATGCCAAATGCTAATAAAATGCAGCTGCAAACAACAGTGCTCGACAAAAAGATGCAAGTGCTTTTTGGTCATTCTAGTGAACCACAAAAATGGCTCTGGCTCTTAAATCAAAGGGAATGGTGTCCTGATGATATCTGAAAAATTGCAAATGCCCCCTCACATCAAATCCTGGGGGAGGGAAGAATTAATTTTTTGTTGTTGATTTTTTTTAATATGATCTATATCCATTTTAAGTGTGTTATTTTCAGTGTTTAAAAACAATTTTCAAGATTACATCTGTATTTCTCGTTGATATTCATTATTAAAGCCTGACCAAGGGCGACGCCCACTTTATCAACATGTTAAATATACAAGTTAATGAGTCTTCTATTATGAATAAGAAAATTACCTATTAAGGCTGAATAAAATTGATAGGATTAAGTTATTTATTTATGTTAAGATGATAAATGCTTTAAGTAAGTCAATTGACAGGCCACACCCCTTTTAGATATAAAGATACATTATTTTGGCTTTTAATGAGAGCACTTTGACTAATTGATACACGTTACCTTATTAGGTACCTTAAATGCAGTTCAAATATCCTATTTTGTGCATTTAAGCACTTTAACACTCTATTATCATTATCACTGAGCTAGGTGTCATGTCCATTACAATCCCTGCATTTTACTAGCGTTTGGCATGCATCTGAAGCTTGGGGCAATGTTTTCTACACTGGCACCCAAATCATTTTCCCAGCCTATGTGGCAATGGATTCCCAACTCAATTGTGAGGGTGAAGCGAGGACTGACATAGGTATAATTGTCTGAAACCAACTTATGCAACTTATGGTGGGATGTTCTCAATTTGAGTTGTTTTCTTTGTGAACATTTCTTGTCTTGCAGCATTTACAGCTGTTTCATTGTTGTCTCTATTGTATAAAATCACAAAAAAAACGTTCAATGATTGGAATCCAGATATAGTGTCTGAACCTGTGGGAGCATGAAATAAGGGGAGACACATAGTCCTACCATGTCAAAGGGCAGCTGCAACTTCATGCGAAGTGAGATATCTCAAATTTTTTACTTTTCCAAAAGCTATTCATTTTTGAACTTTGAGTTCTGATGATATACTGAACTGGTACTCAGCAAGCATATTGACAAGGTCAAAAAACGAAAAACCAGGTGATAAGCTTGCTAATTGACTGGAGATAAAGAGGGAAATTTCCCTCTCTAATAGCCTACACTTAGTTAAGGCACCGTTTTTCGATTCAAATAATCTGAAACCAAAACTTAAAGACTGGTACATTCTGTTGGTCAGCACACCATTCATCAAACTGTTTATCACTTCATTATCTAGATTTTGGACAGCTGTATATGTAGTATAGGCTCTCTTGAGAATTTAGAGACTGCAGGCTGTGACACAGTGGCGGCCCTTCTGGTTCTGGTTCAACCCATGAAAGAGGTTAAATAGCCTAAATGTTCCGCATATGAAAAGTGGGCGTCGCCCATGATTAGTCTTCAACAACTATGAAAATCAAAGAGAAATCATCTGGAAATAAAGAGGAAAATTCTCCTGGCCTATAGCCCTCACATAGTCAAGGCACAGTATTTCAATTTGAATAATCAGAAACCAAAGCTTGAAGACTGGTACATTCTGTTGGTCAGCAGGCCATTCATCAAACTGTTTAGGCACTTGGTCAGCACACCATTCATCAAACTGTTTAAGCATATCATCATCTAGATTCTGGACAGTTGTGTCTGTAGCACAGGTTATCTTCAGGAGAGTATAGAGACTTGACATAACACATACATGTACATAGAATAGTGGATACATGTTGTAGATCTGGGACATCCGTTGCTTGCTTTCTTCTTCTAAACAGGGGTGTGATATGGTCTAAGCCTTTAAGAAGTCAAATGCTAAGATTAATTAAAGCACCTTACATCAAAAAGGTATCTGGTGTCATCCAGAAAACTGAATTGCATTCATTTGTTCAACCCATGATAGAGATTTAATAACCTAAATGTTAAAGGTATGAAAAGTGGGCGTCGCCCATTATTAGTCTTTAACCATGATGAAAATCTATGATAAATCATCTTGTTATGTTGGCAAAATTTCTTTACCATGAAAATAGCACACTAAAACTGTAGTATGACCATATTCAAAGAATTTTTTTATGAAAAAAATATTCCCGATATCTCCCCACCCCCATGGGATTTGGTGGGAGGGGGTACTTACTATTTTTTGATCATTCTAGTGGACCACAAAAATGGCTCTGGCTCTTAAATCAAAGGGAATGGTATTCTGATGATATGTGGAAAGTTTCACGCTTCGTTCCATGAATGAACTATTTTTGCACTATTGATCTCGCTATTAGGAACTTGTATAAACAATATATAATATTGATATATTATACCCAAATTTTTGTGTTTTACTTTAAATTGTTCATCCTAGCTTACATATGTAGTATTTATGTATTCATCATGTATCTGAGACTTTTTTTTAATGTATCGGGAGTAAATATTATCAGTTTTCTGTGGTATTATTAATATGTATCATTTTCAGCAACTCGTCGGAAAAAACGTCGTGCAGCTATTGTGAGATTTGATAAAGATGATGATCTTGATTTTGAGATGCCCAAATTTGGTGAATCGCCAGGGCCTACTCCAACCCCCTCTCCTCCCTCAACTCCACCCACCCCCAGGAGTCCTTCTGTCTCTGAGGTAAAATACTTACATGTGTGCGATGTTAAGCTCAGTTGTACCATTATTTGATGCAATGTTTTCGTTAACTTATTATATCTGTTTATTGGGCGTTGTCACTGACTTGCTTATCTATAAAAACAACCATGGTGATTGTTGTGCTTTGGCGTTATAATTGTTGTGTAATATTGTTCTAATTGGTGTGTAATAATGCTCTAATTGTTGTGTAATAGTGTTTTAATTGTGTTCTTCAGGGAGGAGCTAGCACAGAGGAAGAGGTGTCAGATGCTGAGAGTGAACATTCTTTCCAACCTATAAACATTCCTGGTATGTACATAGAGCCCCCCCCCCCCGCTCTTCATCTCATCTTAAAATCCTATAAAATGAAAGGAAACATTCATATTTCCCCTAACTAGATTATTCTTATGTACATCAGTTAGACTACAATTGAAAATTAGAATTAGAAACTAAGTGAATTAATTTATTTAGATATACTGTGATAGCAAGCACATTATAAATGAAAGTTTATAAGATTGTGCTTAAATGCAATTGTCTCTATTAAACAGGAAATCTCTATCGGCCCAATAGCCAAAGATATGTCCAAGAACCCTCTAAAACACCTTCTATCCTCAAAGTCAAAGCCCAGGGTGAAAAAACAAAAGTGCCATCTAAGCATGTTGAGTTCTCACCTCTGTATAGATGGCCTAGGTTGCCAGGTGGTCTTAGGTTAAGCTTAGGTGTAATTTAGGTTTTATTTGTTGATTTTTATGTCACCAACGAAAGTGGTGACATGTTGTTCTTCAACTTTTTTTGTTGCTTGTGTTTGGTGGTCAGTGTTTGGCATTCATTTCTGTAACAATGTTTGGTGGTCACTGTCTGTAACAAATGGCAGGTTGTGACATTTTGTATGTTAATGCCTTGTTTCAAATATTAAGTTGATGCATAGAATAAGTACATGTAGGTGTTAATGTTATTTGTTATTAATCTAAATAAATAGTAAACAATAATATATTCTTAGTTAATTGACCCATGAGGTTCTTATAATTGGTGCTTTCTATATTTTACATCTAGGCAATCTTTATACACATGACATGAAATAGTAAGATAAACCAACACTGTATAAGTAGTAAAGCGTGTAAAATAAGTGCTGCAAATATGCTATTACATTCACCCGATGCTATATTGTACAATAGGAAAAAAAATTGTACAATAGATCTCTTTATTTGAATGTTTCCTTACATCATCATATATTGTTTATATATCTATTGACTTTGTAGATCCAAGTCCTAAAGTGTCACAGGAAGTAGTCAAACCAGTGTCTGAGAAACCTCAGGAGAGGGAGTCAAAGTTTGCTGGGATCAAAATTGATGTTAATGCACTGATGAAATCTGGGAAGAAACCTCCTCTGAGACAGACTCCAAGCAGTACTCCTGAACCAAAGCCAAGTGCACCCTCAGTAAATATAGCAATATAAGATATATATTGATAAAATATGAACATACATGTAGATCAACATTCGTTCATTCATTGAACAATTAAAGTTTAATCTTAAACATGTTATTGTAAATTGTTTTGCACAAAATAAGAATGGAAATGCTCTATACTATGCAAAGTAGACATACAATAATTATCTGGGTGCAAGACATAGGTCATATTTCCAGCCATGAAGACTTCATGCTTTTAAAACCATGCTTTTCCAACATGTCTCACTTCAATAGGCCTTCGCATGTTGCCTACCCCGTGACCAATTGCATTAAAATACAACAGGAGCAAAATGTAAAAACCTTTGAAGTGAGAGCCATCTGTTAAACATTTGGAAAGTTATTTCATATTTCCAAATCCTACACCTCATATTCTGTATTAATCAGTTAAAGAGGGTAAACTTACATTCAAAATATTTTCTATTTTAGCCAGTGGAACAGAGAGCAGTGCGTGAGGTCAAAAAGAAAGAGTTGAGTGGTGATAGGAAACGTATTCACAGTGGCACCAGACGTCCTGTCAGACCACCTCAGGATGGCTCTAAGTCTACCAGCAGCAAAGCTAAGGTAGGGGAACTCAAGCATTTTACCAAACAAGAGACTATTTTGTTTAGGGTGGATTGATGAGCAAGAAATTGAGAGCAATGAAAACTTAATTGATCATATGATTTATTAAAACAAAATATTGAAGCCTGGAATTTTTTGATGTATGCGTATGCATCATTAACACTCCCACCTCTTCTCTAATGTTATATCTAGTAGTTCATATTGGGTATACACCAGGTCATGTTAGTATTATTTACCCAATATGCCTGATTATTGCCATAATATTCCCAAATTAATCCAACAGACATTTTATGGCATTCATTTGTTTGTTATGTATGGAGAGAGGGAATTTGCAAAATATATTACAATATTATTAATATACTGTTGGAAATTAACAGACCCTGTAATGAAAATGCATGATTACCTGTATATGTGTGTGCACATTTTATTTTCATGTTTGTTGTAAAGTTCTTACATATTTAAACTGTTCACTGTTTTAGCCAATCAAGTTCATGGTAGGGCTTCACCTCATCAAGATTTAGTTCTATTATTTGATTGGACTACTTCACAATATGTATTTCTAGTTTCATTTTATTTTATTTTATAATGAAAAGCTTCAAATACATTGCCTTATATGTTCTAGTGATTGATGCTTTATTTTGTACATACCTGGCACAAAATAAAACATTGCCTTTGATAATTGATTAGCAGACTTTTAGATATTTATTATTGTCTATTCAGATATTTTATTTTCTGATTGTATAATCTGAATTATTTTCATCAGAAATATAAACTATTTGATTGCCATGAATGGTGTGTACTGTATATGTATGTGGATTTTCTCATTCATTTTATGTATTAACTCCTTTAGCTGAATAAAGCTACTAAGGCAACCTACAGGGCCCCTAGGGGTCAGCAATCTGTAGGTGGGGAGCTAAGCACACCCAGATCTACCAGTCAATATAACACACAGGTACAGGTTTGTTTGTAACACCCTGTAGTTAAGGTCCTTGAGAGATTTCCAAGTGAACACCCTGTAGTTAAGATGCTATTACTAGGGAAGTTTTATTGCAAAGCATCCATGTTCAGCCAGAGTGCCTCATAGGAATTTTAAACATATTAGTCAAAGTTGAATTTAAACATATTATTTTCTTAGACATGCTTCTATATCAGCTTATCCATAGTGAAATTTACTTGACATTTTTCTACATAGACCAGTGCTTATGTAGCACCCTGTTTCCAGCTTTGCTAGCCAGCTTCTGAGTATCTTAGTGTATAGTATCATCAGTATGTAGGTGATTGCTGGTTAGGGTGAAAAGAGCTTAATTTTCCAAATCCATCTATCTCGTCCCAACTAATGGCAGATAAGAGGGAAGTCCTCAGAACTGTGGACTCGTCATCCATGTAGTCGAGTATAACAGGTTTCCTACGAATCTGAAAATACCAGGGAAATGTATTTTCAGCATCTGGAATTGTCAGGGAATTTTGAAATAGGAATTTTGAAAATAACCTGATAAAGTTATCAATAAGATACATGACATTTTTAGTGACTGTATGAAGCAAAAAGACAATTTAGTCTGAAACCCAGTAAGTCTCCTTTTCCCAAGGAGCGAAGTATGGTAGGAATATAGTAAAGCTGTCCGTCGCTCATCTATCAAATACTAGAGTTGCCTTTCTCTAGTTAAGAATTCTTAGTTTCTCCATCCCAAATATGCGATGATGTTTAAGATGGTAAGTATGTCAGTTCCTATTTGAACACCTACAAATGATCCAATTGAAGTGAATTTATGCAGGTAAAAGTCTCCGATTTTTTGCAATTTAATAGTTTTTAGAATATCCTAGTATACTGTAGTTATATTCTTTTCATGCCTAGCTTTTCCTTTATTCATATTTTTACGTGTGTTTAGTTTTAGTGCAATTTTATGATTACATGTCTGTATATTATGCATATTTCTAATTTTTAAAAACACATTCATTTAATCCATTCTTTTATCTATTTATTGTTAACGTTATTATATCTTTGCACTATTAATTTTGTAATATCAATTTAATTTCTCATATCCACTTCTTTTATGATTTCTCACTTGTAATTGTCATACACATGTATTTTATTCTTCACCAGCATTTATCTTCTAAAGCATCTCTGTTCACGATGTACTTTAATTTATATTGTGTCTAACATGTACATGTTGTTTATGTAAAGATGTTAACCCTAAGTCCCAGAGGATCGAAATCAAAGGCTAGTTCAAGACCACATAGGAGGTCAAAAGGTTTAATGAATCAGGTGGGTCAACATTTTAGTTTTTGATTTACCCCTAAGTGATTTTATGTTGTCTTGTACTGTTATATTGCATTATATATATTGAGTATACTTTATATTGTATATGTTGAGTATACTTTATATTGTATATGTTGTGTATACTTTATATTGTATATGTTGAGTATACTTTATATTGTATATGTTGAGTATACTTTATATTGTATATGTTGAGTATACTTTATATTGTATATGTTGAGTATACTTTATATTGTATATGTTGAGTATACTTTATATTGTATATGTTGAGTATACTTTATATTGTTTATGTTGAGTATACTTTATATTGTATATGTTGAGTATACTTTATATTGTATATGTTGAGTATACTTTATATTGTATATGTTGAGTATACTTTATATTGTATATGTTGAGTATACTTTATATTGTATATGTTGAGTATACTTTATATTGTATATGTTGAGTATACTTTATATTGTATATGTTGAGTATACTTTATATTGTATATGTTGAGTATACTTTATATTGTATATGTTGAGTATACTTTATATTGTATATGTTGAGTATACTTTATGTTAGTGCATGTATATGATCTCTTATACCTTTAACATCACTGTCACCCTGTTATGATACCAATGAATTCAGTTTATAGGTTTGCTAACTAAATGTACTATAACACCCTCCACTTCCTTGCTGTTTGTGGATCAGGAAAGAAATCCATGGGGGAGATGCCATTGTTGCCCATAGATTGAAATAAACCCTTTGCATTAAAATAAGTAAGTTTCAATTTGAATTGTTTCAGCTTTCATCAAGTCTGTCCCAAAAGTCAAACAGTGAATTGGTTACAGATGTGGGGAACAAAGAATCTGCTACAGAATCTGCAGGAAAGACTTCTGGGACATCAGTAGCAGTCACCAATCTTGAGATTCCTGAGAGAGCACAGGGAATGTCTGGATTCAAAGGCAGCATAAGGTAAGGATAGTTTAAATTCATTATGAATATATGTTGCTTTATTGAATGCTTCAGACTGTGAGTGATGGGAGGAGAGCCTCAAACTCTGAGAGAGGAGGGACTGGGAGGAATGAGGAATGAACACATGATTTCAGTATACACATATATCTGGCATCTTTATTATAATAGCATAATAATCAAGATGTGTGTTTTCTAACAATTCTGGCATTTTATTAGTCTTTTATATAAAATGACATGTAGAATGATTTCTAGGACACACACACTTCGGCATTCAATAATAGTAAACATAATAAATTCAGTATGTACAATATATTGTTGAAAAGAAGCATTACTTTTCATTTCTTTTCAAAGTTGACCAGTGTTGTTTACAGTATTTTGTTAGTCTTCCGAATTATTCAATCATACAGTTTCTTTGTTAGACTTTTAAAAAATGATGGTGCATGTACATCAAAATAAAATATTTTTTTAAACAATTTTGTTCATAACATACATTTATACAATGCAAACAGGCCCGTAGGTAAGGCCAAACCTTCTTTTGAAATCACACAGTTTTTCACCATTCTGAGCACCTTTGAGCGATTTTGGCCATTTTTGGACCAAAATTGTCAACATTGAACTGGCAAATGATTTTCAAAATACATGTACACTCTATCTGAAAGTGCTGTGGTTTGTGTATGATATTGTCACCTATAATTTCATTCTGCCAATTAATTTACCAGGTACATTGTTACACTTTTACCACCACCTTGATGATCTATTTACAGTGATTATTAATTATTAGGCTACATACTGTATTGTGACATGATGTGGTACAATATAATGCTAGTAGAATATAATTAAATAACTAAGATACATTTATAATGGAAGAGGTACCTGTATGTACAACAAATTGTTATTATTTTCAGGACCTTCTTTGTCTTGCTTAAATCAGAAGAAAAGGCTAAGAATCTTCTTAATTCAGATGTTACTCCAGATGAAAAAAATGAGAAAATATATTTGAATCTGACTTTTTATTCATCAGTTGTAGTTCCAGAAGTCTGTTCCTCTTTTTCTTATTCTATGTTTTCTATTTCAAAATTTTCTTTTTCTCTCTCGATAATTGTGGGTTCATTATTTTCTTCTTTTTTCAGTTTATTTACCCACATTTTTGATTGTGCTTATTGTGCTGATATCAGAATTACCATTTTCTAATTTACCATCTCTGTATTTTCTTTTTCTAAGTTCTTATTTGTGCTCTCAGCATTTTCTTCTTTTGTCAATTCCTTTTTTGTGGGGCCACAATTTTTGTATTCAGTATTTGAGATATCTGAGTCATCTTCTTCTTTTTCTGATTCTGTTTTAGCACTCTCAGAATTAAATTTTTCCAACTTCTTATTTGTGCTCTCAGCATTTTCTTCTTTTGTCAATTCCTTTTTTGTGGGGCCACAATTTTTGTATTCAGTGTTTGCGATATCTGAGTCATCTTCTTCTTTTTCTGATTCTGTTTTAGCACTCTCAGAATTAAATTTTTCCAACTTCTTATTTGTGCTCTCAGCATTTTCTTCTTTTGTCAATTCCTTTTTTGTGGGGCCACAACTTTTGTATTCAGTATTTGCGATATCAGATTTATCTCTTTCTGATACTGTATTTGCATTCTCAGAATTTTCTTTTTCTAACTGGTTATTTATGCTTCCATTGTTTTCTTCACCTTTAGTAAATTCCTTGTCTGAAGACCCACACATTTTTGATTCCCTATTTATGTTTTTAGGAACACCTTGCTCTTTTTCTGATTCCTTATTTGTACAATTTTCTTTTTTTGACTCCATATTTGTGCTCCCAGTATTTTCTTTTTCTTTCATCAATTCCCTGTTTGTAGACCCACATTGTTTTGATTTCTTATTTATAGTTTCAGAAATATCTTCCTCTGTTCCTGATTGCTTATTTGCTCTCTTAGAAATATCATTTGGCTGATCTGATTCCTTCTTTGTAGATTCAAAACGGTTCCCCTCTATTTCTGACTCCTTAGTTGTGGTCGCAGAGTTTTCTGATTCCTTATCTGTAGTCTTTGTGTTTTCAAGGAATATTTGTTGCAATTTAGTTGTTTCATCCAAAACATTGGTCAGCTTTCTTTGTATCTCATTAATTTGGTTACCAATTTCTTTTAAGCTCTGTATAAATCCAATATTTTCATTTTCAATTTTGAATGGCAGTTTTGTTAACTCAAGATTTTCAGCCTCCCTTTGTGCCAATTTTTCACATAAAAGTTCATGAGTCTGACAACTAATTTGTTGTTCACTTCTATGTTTACTTTTGTTTTCTGACTCCTTCTCCTTTATCTCTGGAGATTCTCTTTCTCTTTGTAATTCCTTATTTGTGATCTCAGAATTATGTTCAAAGTTTTTATAACTTGTCTCATCATTTACTTTTTCCAATTCCCTACCTTTTGTCTCAGAATTTTCTTCCATTTCTGAGTCCTTGTTTGTTGTCTCAGTACTTTCATCCCCCTTTTCTAATTCCTTATTTGTAAACTCATTATTTTCCTTGACAATGTTTTCTAACTCATGTTCTGACCCAATATTTTCTTTTTCTGGTAGATTGACACTTAATCCCACATTTTCTTTATCGTTTTCGTAACCATGTAAAATTTCTTTGAGTTTCACATTTTCTTTATCTTTCTCTGTTAGACCTTGTTTTGCAACATTATTTTCCTTCTCTTTGTCTAAAAGCTTTTGTTGCAATTGATTATTCTCACTCTCAAGTTTTGCAAGTTTTTCTTTTAGTTCAAGATTTTCTTTTTCAATCTTTTTTAGTTTCTGAATGGATCTAATATTTTCTTTTTCTTTTGCAGATAATTGTTCATTCAACTGAGTATTCTTAGCCTCTTCTTCTTCCAAGTTTTTTTTCAAAGTTGCATTTTCCTTTAACTTTTCTTCAAAATTTTTGTCAGGCTGAGAAAGTGTGAGAAGCCGTTCATTCAACTCTTTATTTTCAGTTTCTTTGATAGTTATGAGTTCTCTCATTCTAGCATTTTCTGCCTCATAATTAAGATTACATTTTTTTAGTTTAACGGTCTCATCACATTTTGATTTATAATTTATTCTGGCTTCTAAAAGTTCCTCAGACTTCTTATCATAACATATAATACCTCTCTCAGAATCATCCTTTACATGTTTCACTGTCATTTCTAAATCCTTTACATATTTGTCCTTAAAATGGTCAAGTTCATGGGTCTTTTCAAGTATTTGAACTTTATCAGTTAGCAACCCATATTCTGCAGGGGTCATCAAAATTCTTTTTTTGCCATCAATCAGAACAGTTTGCTCACATGATTCTCGAAGTGCACCATTTTGTTGGTTGTCAACAATTGTATCTGAAGGAGGTGCCATTGAAAATACTCTGTCTGGATAGTCTTGCTGCCTCTCCAAGGTTGGATTATCGCTATTATTGCGGCCATGTGGAACATCTCCATCTAAAATTCAATTTGAAACCAGCTATTTAAAAGGAAACAAGAGTAACAGCTTCACTTAATTTTGAATATTCTGGAGTATTGCTGTAAATAAGGGTTATGTACTGGGAGGTTTTGGATATGGGGTTTATCCAGAGGGAGATATGCATATCTACCTGAGGGACCGTAGGGACCGAAGGTAGATGTGTATATCTCACGAGGGATGAACCCAATATCCAAACCGACCGTACATAACTTCTTTATCCTATACCAAGTAGAGTTTTCTAATTTTCTTTAAATTTTTTCAATTTTTTTTATTTTTTCAATTTTTTCACATTTTTCTAATTTTATTTTTAATTTTTTCACATTTTTTTTTCTATTTTTTTCTTTTTTCAATTTTAAATTTTTTCAAATTTTTTTTCACATTTTTTCTTTTTTTCAATTTTTTCAAAATTTTTTTTCGAAGGGGAAAGATATGTCCTGGAGCAGGAGATATGGAGGTTCAGGATATGGAAACCTCAAAATCAGGATATGGGATATATTTTACCAAGTTATCTCCCTAAAACTCTGCTTGGCATAGAATAATGCATGATATTATATGATGAGTTGTTTAAAATGAGTATGTGACACTCTACAATGTTGATTATTATTAAGAACATATCCCTTGAAAAAGTTTTATCTCACAAAGCCGCAATATATCAATATAACAATAAACTTTAAACTATCAGTTTGCCTCCACAATTCATGATAAGACTGTATGTATCATTTTCTTGGTTATCAATAATAATACCTGAAGGAGGTCCCATTGAAAATACTCCACTTGGATAGCCCTGCTGCCTCACTAAGGTGGGATAATTCCAGACATGTGGAACATCTCCATCTAGAATTTAAATATTTAAAGGGAATGAGTGTAGCAATATTTACTCTTCTGAACTATTATATTCTGGAACGTTAGCACAAAGCATACTATGATGTGTGCTTGTATGTTGTTAAAATTGAGGATGTTCCACTGTATGTCAATTATTAAAAGCAATTGCTTTAAATCCATTAGTCTGACAACTATGTAGTTAAAACAAACTTATTATTTCATTGGCTCATATCTTGGTTATCGTGATTGTTGTCATGATTGTCTCCATTCATCAGATTTTCTCCAAACTCACACACATCATAGAGGATATCAAGGTCTAGAGCTTAGAAACTTTTGGGCAGCTATCTTATTTTCTGGTGACCATTTTGAAGGTTTTTCGATAAATCGTGTCATCGCCATTTCAGGAAAACCACTCATCAGATTTTTTACAAATTCGCACACATGATAAAGGATATTAAGTTCTAGAGCTGATTAACTTTTGGGTGGCCATCTTGTTTTCTTATGGCCATTTTGAAGGTTTTACAATAAATCTTGTCATCGCTATTTCAGGAAAACTACTCATCGGATTTTCTACAAATCTGCACACATGATAGAAGATATTAAGTTCTAGAGCTGATTAACTTTGAGTGGCCATCTTGTTTTCTGGTGGCCAATTTGAAGGTTTTGCGATGGTGTGACCTCGTTCACATCATGTGCCTTGTTATCAAAATGTCACAGTATTTCACTCTTATTGGCAAGGTGCAGAGATTTTCAACTAGGAGACTATAATTTTCAGATTTTCAACCAAGTGCTTGCCTTGCCTCTAATGCTAGGGTGTCAAAGTAACCTGCATTTCTTTAAGTTTATTTAATACAAAGATCAAACAAGTGAATCTAAACAGCTGTAAAATATTTTAAAAGTTCTGAAAGAAAATAAATATTACCTCTTTTGTTCTGTCCATGAATTAATAGGTAGACAATTACAGCTAGAAATCCAATTATTGCAAAAGCTTGCATATGTGCAAGTAAACCTTCTTCAAATATAGCACTCATCGTATCTCTCTAATGCCACCAATTACAGTTTGATATTATTCTGGGTTTTGTATTTTCTAAAAAAGAAGTAGACTTAGATTTCACAATGATTGACATTTACTGATTGGTAAGATACTAGCTCTGAGCTTTTGAGCCTTTTGAAATAGATCTACTGAAAATCTGTATTGACAAGGGGAGTTACCCACTTAGTGATTTTTCATATACATGTAGTTACTGAACAGCCTTCAAAAATTGAATGTTGCTTGAGTAATGCTTACAAAAATACAATTGCTAGATTTTCTTGGCATTTAACATCAGGAATTTCTTATCGGAAACAAAACTGAGAAGGGGATTCCCCTTTGAAATTACCTGTCGTATGCCAATGCAATAATGACGCATAAAATTTCTAATTCATTATTGTGATTTATTTATATAATTTCTGTACAGCTTTCAAAAATTGATGAACATAATGTTCTCTAGATTTATATATTTGCATAATATTTCTTGGTTCTATGAGTTATATTGTTTGTTAGATGTTTTCTTTATTCACTCTTTCTGAATATTGGAGCCACCATTTTGCATATTAGATATGCTTAAGTAATGCTTACAAAAATGCAATTGCTAGATTTTCTTGGCATTTTACCATAAGAACGTTTGAACAATGTATTTTATTCATTACAATACTGTGAATACTGTTCTTACCTTCTCTTGACTTGGTTTTATGGTTTTAAATGACAACAACATTGACTACAGGAATTTCTTATCGGAAATGAAACTAAGAAGGGGATTACCCTTTAAGCTTACCTGCTATATGCCAATACATACTATACATTATAAAAATGACGAATTAAATTTCTGAAATTAAATTTTATAGAATGTACATGCAAATTTACCACTGAATCAGTGCATTGTGTATTTATTCCAAACTCAGTGTGAACCTCTCTGCTTCAGCTTATATTTGACATGAGGTTGTTATTCCATATTTTCATAGAAGCTGAGCCCTAAACATTACTTTTGTACTTAGGTGATCATATAATGGAAGGTTTTTTAATCAATCTCTCGATTTTTTCACCAGTGATGCATGGATGATAAATGGTTAAATGCAAATAAATAATGGCTGCTACTTCAAAAGTGATCAGAACATTTCTCGAAAAAGTTTTTCAATTTTAAACCAAAGTAACCGGTATGTAATTTTGTCAGCAAACGCAGGAAATATTTTCAATATACATAAACTCCCCTTTGACCAAATCAATTGAGTAGATGGCAAATCCATTAATTTTGAAGCTGGAAAATGTCAACTCGTATGTTTCAGATCATTGCTTGGAAATGCTTTTAGCTATACTATATAGCTACTATACTAGTATATTGTTGCACTTTTAGGGCAGTGGTATCATAAAATTATAAAGTAATTTAATGATATATGTTCCAGATCAAAGAAGAAGAAGATTCCTATTGGTGCTATGAGTGTAACATCTAAAAAGAGTGCCAGTGGTTCGGGGAGTAAGCCTGGAGTCGGGAAATCCCCAACTGCTGAACTGGAGGGACAGGTGAGTTAAAGACTGTTAAACCAATGTACTAATGTGAACAATACAAAATATATAGACTTGTTACTGACGTCAACTTGCTCATACTAGATATTTCAGAACCTTCCAAAATTATTTTACTTTTTTATTGATGATGAACCTCTCCATTCACCTAGCCTATCAAAGCACGTCATCACTGAGCCAAGGTGTGTTCCTCATATATTCAAATAATTTGAGCCTGGCTCTGCACTTCTCTCCATTTAGATGATAACCAAACTTAAATAGCCTAAAAGACTAAAAGTGTATTGTAACTGGCCAATAAGTTCATCAGAATAAAGGCCTCGTGCAAAGTTTTGTTTTATCATCCAACATGTCCAAATAACATTTGTCATGACAAAAATTGACTTTCAAAAAGAGTAAAATAGCCTTCAAAAAACAACTTTTTCAAATTAAAATTTCATGTGTACATTTTGAAAACATTGGGTAAGCCTACAATGTATGCCAAAGGGATTTAAACCTTGCAGGGTGCTTCTTATCATTCTGCTAAGAAGAATTCCAACAGTTTTTAGAAAAACATTCACCAGTAATGGCATGGGCTTTTTAATGCCCATGGTAATGGCAAGTTGTACCCATTTATATTATCTTCCCCTACCCCCACACAGGGTGAAGATGAATCTACAACAGAACATCAAGGAGATGCTGAAGCTGAGAACGATGCAGTGGAAACCAAGGCTCTGACAAAGAAAAAGAAATATGGCTTAGATGCAGGAAAGGATTTTGGAAAAGGTATGTGAAATATTTTTAATTTTTGTTTTACATTCTGTAATAAGATGATCTTCTTTTTTTAGACTGAATATTTCAATGGTTGACTTTTTTTAATTTAATTTTAAATCAGAATTAATAGATACCAAAAAATAAAGAAGTTTATTGTTGTTGTTTTTTATTTATATTTATTTATAGAAGCATTTTTTTTAGAAATATCTATTCCAATTTATGTTTAAAAATGCATGTTTCCTGCATGACTGTTGCATGGTTTTATATTTTTAAGATGGTTATAGTATTCCAGATTCCCTCATCTTTTCTTCCTTATTTGCCATTTCAACATATTTAAGAACATTTTTAATATTTGTGCTAACATATTTTTTTATTTAGCTTCTTGTCACCTGCATATAATATATTAATAACCAAATAACATTTAATAATCTTGCACATATTGGACTTAACTTCAACTGAATTAATACATTTATTTGATGTATTCCGCCTTTTTCAAATATTGAGTCCAAAGCATTATTTTATTATTTTATAATTCACCTGCTTTTATATTCACATGTTCATTCTTAATAACTGTTTTTGGCATTTTAACCAATTTTGTTTGTTCCTACTAACTCAAAACTCTAGGGGCAGATGCACTTGTGAATACTGTTAAACGTTTAATGTTACAACATAACATTAAGAGTCCTGTTAGCCCGACTTCAGATGTCAAAGATAATGAGGAAATCAATGAGGACAATATGTCATCATTCAGTGATGATGTCATAGAACATGATGACATCACAGAGCATGGTATAGTCGCTATACATGTCAGCGTTAATGTTGTAGAACCCAATTAGTTTAAGCATGAACGTGAAGAATGGATAGGAATCTTTTAGAAATGACTATTCTCGGTTTGGAGAACAAAGTTCATCACTCTAATTGAGCGTTACCCCTGCTTTGGACAATTTTTTTTTTTTACATAATACAGATTTGAATGTCTTCTTTTGAATAGTCATAATTTAATTTGGGTGATATTTCTAGATTTTTCATAAGAAAATGAATAGAGCAGTACACTGATGGACTTCTTTCTCCAAATTGAGACATGTATTTTATTGAATTGGTCTAATTGAGCGTTACCCCTGCTTCGGATAAAGAAATTTTTTGTAGATTTAAATGTCCTCTTTTGGATATTCATAATCTAATTTGGGTGATATTTCTATATTTTTCATAAGGAAAATTATTAGCCCAGGAGACTGTTCTTCAAACCGAGACTTGTCCTTTGCCTAAACCAGTGTAGTTTGGCTCTAATCCAATAGGTGGACATGTGCAATTCTCCATTCAAATATCTCAGTCAATATCTAGGCATTTCAGACAGATCTCAGACACCATATGAAAGCTTATTTAATTTTCTGTGGTTTGTTCATTTTAAAATGGTTAAAAAACAAATTATTTTGAAAAAAAACATCATGTGACCACCAAATTCAAGTAATTGTAAACACCCTCATTGTGAAAAAATAAACAAATTTTCTCCTAAATGATGAGCATAAAATGATTCCTGAGGTTTTGATCTGGAGAATTTATATCTGCATGTTTTTCCTTTTATTTGTGGATAAATTGGGGTGAGACCACTGAGTCAATTGCAGATTCTGATCCATTTCTTCATGTCCATAGTAATATTATAAGAGCTGTGTACCATATACCATAGTTATGTTTTGATGTGTTGTTTTGTCTTTCTTTGTGCACATGTTGAGTTATTTGTACTTGGCTTAGTAGAGCATCACATAATGTAAGGCAGCATGCATTTACCATAGTGAACTAATAAATGCATTAGTTAGAGCTGATGGCACACAATTTATAGCAGCATGCATTTATATAAGGAACAGTAATAAGGTTCATGTAATATCAGAAGTACTATGACAAATATTTCAGGAACACATAGAAATACTCAAAACAAATCCTGATAAACCATATATCATGTGATGAAACCAAAATTCAAATCAGATTTTTGTCATAGAGCACGATTACAATGCATTGTAAAATCCTGTAAATTGAAATCCTTTAAACAGATGGCCATTAAGAATTCATCAATCAGTTGTTGTTACCATGGAAACATTGATGTCATATTAAATACAATTGTTCAGAAATTCTTAAAAAAATTCCTAAAATTCTTAACTTTATGAAAGTTAATGTTATTAGCCTCCAAAATAATTCATGGTGCCCTGGACTGGTATATGCTTTTCATTTTTGGCAACCTAGTACACGTTTACAATCATTTAACATACATGTATATCTGTTGAAGCTGCTTTGATGCTTACATACTGATTCTTAAAAATTTTAAATAATGCTTTTTTCTTGATTTCTTTTGCTAATTTATATGTATTTATGATGTGCATTTTAATATTTATGTTACACATTTCGCTGTACTTTAACAACACAAAGTCTTTAGTAACTTTATCAAGTAACAACAATTTTATGTTTTCCCAACTTTTATTTTTAGTCCGTATTTTACAGTTGTTTTCATTTACACCTTAAGTATATCAATTTTGAGAAATGCTCACTAATCACACAAGAGTGTATACTTTACTGTCTTGCATACTTTATGATAACAATTATTTTCCAGTTTCTATTCATTCAGCATATTTATCCAAGCCACTTCCTAAAGGTAAAACTGGGAGTTAAGGAATATTCTGCATGCTGGTTTTGTAGTACACTTCCCCTTAAAAGTTTGGCAACTGGAATTCCCCATTTGGACAGTGTGTAAAACCCTGTTTTATTTTGCAATTTATTTACATAATCAAAAACTTATTACTGACTTTTTTTGATTCAGGAATAGAATTTAAATGATCCAAAAAATTGAAACATTAAACAGGCTTGGAATCATTATCCAATTTGGACTTTAAGTTTCCAAACTTATGGAGGGGAGTGTAGAAGTTTATATTGATGTAAAATGCATGTCAGCCCCTGCATGAGATAAACAAGAACAAATATTATGAATTCTTGGATAAATGAACCCTATATTTATATATCTGATTGCCCAGTGTCATGTAGATAGTATTAGGTTAGATATTATGTATATTCCAGTGAAGTCTAAACTGAATAAAGAACATAAGGCTAAAGCCAAGGATGCAAGTAGCAATCATGTCTTGGAACAAGCATTGGGGAAGGGTGCTGAAGCAGTCAAGGCACGAGTTAAAACACAAAAGGAAGATGATTTTTTCAAAGCTGTTACCAAGGTATCATCAGAAAAGAAATCGTTGATTAGCCTGCCATCGGTGAACACATCTTCATCAGATTCGTTGGTTCAAACAGGAGCAAAAGACATTGCAAAAGATGTTGAGAAGACAAAGCAAGGTTTTGATGTCACATCCGCACTTGGTGAAACTCATATGACTCTATCTGGATCAAAGCCACAAACACCACTGGGGTCACGATCACAAACACCAATGGGGTCACAATCACACACAGGGTCACACTCACAGCCAGAATCACGATCACAAACACCCAGAACTCAGACACCATTGGCGAGAACGATGACACCGGAAGAAATAATACGCTCCAAGTTGCCTCATATCCTCCCCCAAGCTGACTTTGTAACCAACCAGGACCCAGGCTCACATGGTCATTCCTCAACCACACATTTGGACATCAATATCCCCCATTGCCCAACTGACCAGGGTATAGAGAGCTTTGGCAACTGGTTGCACCAGACACCTGGTATGATAGATGATAGTAAAGAGTGAAGAGTACTGGCATGTTAATTGTTAAGTTGCTGTTGCACTGTGTACAGTATATGTAATATCCCCCCCCTAATAAGTCATGTTGGTTTATGTTATGTTTTTTCATGTTGCATGTTTTTTAAATAATGTTCACATAGTACCCAGCACATGGTTATGATTTTGATTATCATGCACATTTATAACATTATGTATTTTGACTATATGAGATTTTATTTGACTTAACTTCAAATTGACGAGACAAATTTGAGTGAAGGGTACTCATATAACGTATGTCTTAATATTAATTAAGTTGTAAAAGATAACAGATCTTGGGAGACCTTACATTTCCAGAAAAAATATTTAGAATTGGAGTTTTGATTAATAAAATTGGGCTCCCCTGTAAAAGATTATGATAGTAGGTAAAAAGTGTAGTTCCCCAGGTCTGTTTAGGTGTCCTGAAAACAAAGGTTTTTAGCAAAAATCCTTTTTATGTCCCCACTATGTCCCCACCACATAGTGTGGGGCCATATTGTCGGCCTAGGCGCGTCCGTCCGTCCGTCTGTCCGTCCGTCCGTCCATCTGTCCGTCCGTACGTCCGGGAGTTTTCTCCAAAACCGCTACAGATATCACCTTCAAATTTTCAGGGATAACTTATGAGTGCATACAGATGTGGATGAAAAAAAATTAACTCGATACCTACTTCCTGTCGGCCATTTTGATGTCAAATGCTAAAATCCTTGTCTGCAAACTTTAAGAAAAACGGCTTCACAGTTGCTTTTAAAACTTTAACATCTTGTTCAGCTCACTTCATTCTAGATCTGATTAGGTTTTGGACCTGTTAGCTCAGTCATGTCAGCCATTTTGAATGTCTTAAGAAAAGTTAGCGCACGATAATACTTTGTATCATATTGAATGGTGTTTTTGAGTTTTCATATTCTAACTATTTAGTAGCTTTATAAATAATTTCAGATGTACTTTGTTGTTAAAGCCTATGTTGTTGTTAACAGTATTTATATGTGATGATTTTGTAAAAAGAAATCAGCAAAAACTCATGATCACTTTTTTATTGTCAGCCATTTTGGATTTTCCGTCCTAAAATCTTGTCTATGGAGTCTTGTCTACGTGTTTTCAGGTGAACCGTTTGGTGGATCAATTCTTGATTTTCAGGGATGATTCTTAGTATAAAAATCTAGATCTGATTAGTTTTTTGGCATTCTGGGTAAATGTCAAGGCAGCCATTTTGGATTTTCCGTCCTAAAATCTTGTCTGTAAAGTCTTGTCTACGCGTTTTCAGGTGAACTGTTTGGTAGATCAATTTCAATTTTTCAGGGATGATCCTTAATATGAAAATGTACAACTGATTAGTTTTTTGGCATTCTGGGTAATTGTCAAGGCAGCCATTTTGGATTTTCCGTCCTAAAATATTGTCTGTAAAGTCTTGTCTACGCATTTCCAGGTGAACAGTTCTGTAGATCAATTTCAAATTTTCAGGGATGATTCTTAGTATGAAAATCTAGATCTGATTAGTATTTGGGCATTCTGGGTAAATGCCAAGGCAGCCATTTTGGATTTTCCGTCCTAAAATCTTGTCTGTAGAGTTTTGTCTACGTATTTCCCGGTGAACCGTTTGGTAGATCAATTTCAAATTTTCAGGGATGATTCTTAATATGAAAATCTAGATCTGATCAGTTTTTTGGCATTCTGGATAAATGTCAAGGCAGCCATTTTGGATTTTCCGTCTTAAAATCCTGCCCGTAAAGTCTTGTCTATGCGTTTTTAGGTGAACCATTTTGTAGATCAATTTCAAATTTTCAGGGATGATTCTTAGTATGAAAATCTAGATCTGATTAGTTTTTTGGCATTCTGGATAAATGCCAAGGCAGCCATTTTGGATTTTCCGTCTTAAAATCCTGCCCGTAAAGTTTTGTCTACGCGTTTTTAGGTGAACCGTTTTGTAGATCAATTTCAAATTTTCAGGGATGATTCTTAGTATGAAAATCTAGATCTGATTAGTTTTTTGGCATTCTAGGTAAATTTTAAGGTGGCCATTTTGGATTTTCCGTCATCAAATTGTGTCTGTAAAGTCTTGTCTACTCATTTTTAGGATAACCATTTAACAGGATCACCCATAGGTGGGGACATTTTGTACACATTTGTGTTCTTGTGTGAAAATTACCATTGCCAATGGCTTTGTGATCTTTAAAGAAAGGGATATTTTTGCTAGGATCCAATGCATGAAAACGTTTTAGCACAAGCGTGCACAGGCCCGTAGCCAGGATTTGCCATGATTTTGATTTTTGGCCAGGGGGGGGTTCGCCCAAACCCAGTGAACCCCCCCCCCCTGGCTACGGGCCTGGTGCACCTCTCACTGTTTTCTCTCCCAACAAATTACGTTAATTTGCATGAATGTATATTTGACTGAAATCACCGGGCCCTAATTACAGTAAACTGGTACATAATGAGACATTTACTTTTTGAGTTTGTTTTGCGTAGTTGCATAAGAAAATTCTTGAAATATGGATATATACTAGTTCTCATGGGCTTTTCTGAGAAGCCCTATGGTACAGACTTGCAGCAAATAATTCATTTTTGTGAATCAATGTACAAGTATACAATGTACATCAGTTCTGTATCCAGTTAACATTATTTGGCCCTGATTATTCAATCCAGGTAATCTTGATTTGTCTATCTTGATTTGTTGAGATTGTTGAATATTCCCTATTTATGTACAACTTTTGTGTAAAATAAGAACATTGCATGCATCCAGGCCTGTATGCAGGTTTTGTCAAGGGGGTTCAGTTTTTAAAAAATTCTAGGGGGGATTCCTTGACAATTGGTTCAAAATGGTTAAAAGCTGCATGATTTTGAGAGTATTATTTTGAAAGTAATTTTGGCCAGGTGACAGGCCTGGTAGCTGATATGCATGTGTATTTCTTAATAATCGCGGTTATTAAAAACATCAACCTAAGAACATCCTACCTACGCTTGTACTTGTATTTAACATTTTTAAAATATGGAAATATTAAGTTAATCATGAATCTTAGAATACAAATAGAATATAAAATTCAAGAATGTAAATAACAACATGTGTATTTATTTTATGTATTTCAGATCTTGAGCTCATTTCAATGGTTGTCAAAAGGCAATCTTGACTAATGATGGAACATTCAGAAAGTGAATAATTGACATTAAACACAAACTTATGTTTCTGTTGCTATATTGCCATTTATGTCATTTGAAATATTTATATTACCTTAGATGGGAAGATCTTCAAGTTCAGGTAAAGTACTACAAATGCTAAAATCATGATTCCATCCTTTTTACAGAACTTTTAGAGTTTGATGCCGCATCCAGTATAAGAATACCAGGAGTAGATACAGGCAATGATATGGCAAGTCTATTCACCGATAATGACAATAATATGGCACAATATGACGCATACGCCAAAACAGAAACACCAAGAGGGACACCAATAGGACGACTCCCAACTCCAATGGGCCGCGTTGCCACACCAGGGAGTGTGATGAACCTTGACCCTAAGCTACTGAACCAAGATGACGGCCTCCATCAATCTGACCTGAATCTGATTGATCAAAGACCCATGTTTGACATTGCTGGCAGAGTCAGTGCTATGGGTCAAAGGTCAAGGATGTCACCAAGAGATGAGGAGGTGCTCTCTGAGACGGAGAAAAGAATGTTGCTGCAGCGACCTTCCACATCCTTCCACAGGAGAACAGAATCACCAGCATCATCACAAAAAGGTATAGATCCCAAATAATGATAATATACTTGTCATTGTACTCAGAATTTTATATTGGACATTTTAAATTGATTTTATGCCAAGCTTCATTAAGTCAGAGGAAAAAAGATGGAATGGTATATTTGTTTAGTGCTAAATATTAAATAGAAAATACTAAAAGGTCAACCCTGAACAAACGTGCAGTGAAACACTGACATCAACAGAACGATGTACAATACAAACACCTTTGATAGCTGATAATTGTTGTTAATTGTGTTTCAGAAGGTTCTCTGAGAGCTAGGCCTTCTACAGGGCTACAAGGACCAGGTGTAAGGGCCAATTCTGTAAGTATAGCTCATTTTTTGTGGTGGGCTATTAGAGATCCATGACTCTTATATTCAATACCTTATACCTCGTACCTTATCGCTTTATACTTTTTTCATTTGGGCTCTGTGTATTATTATTATTATTATTATCATTTATTTGCCTGTATTTAAACAGAGTAGTTTAACACATTATAAATTACAATCTATGTATTGTGAAATCGAACATAAAAATAAACCAATCTATATTATGTACATGTCTTTGTTATTTTGTTTGAAACACAAACTTGCGGTATTACCCGATTGTTTAAATACAGTCAATAACTAAGAGCAACCTGTGTTGCCTACATAGGCTCTCATCATGCGTGACCTTTTGTTTGTCATACTTAAGATGATTTTAGATATCTCTATCATGTCCTCTGTGTCAACGTTAACTTCGTTGAATGCAAATAGAACAGATGTTCTTGAATAAGCATTAATATATTTCCTTGTGATTAATGTCAGTTTGGCATGCTCATCTGAGTACGCGTTGCAAGAATTCAGAAAGTGGTCAATTGTTTCTATTTCAAAAAAATCACATAGCACACATATACAGTTAATACCAGAATTTTTAACGCGAAGATCATGACAGTCCGTGGCGAGGCGCATTATGTTTTTACATGGTATGAGAAGTTCTGGTTTTAGTCTTGATAACGTCCACCAGGCAGTTGGCTTCATAAGACCTGCTGACGTCTCACTGATATCACAAATGTTCTGACATATTTCGTGCCTATTGTACATTGAGCTTGTTGTCCTAAAGTCTCGTCTTATCTCGCAGCCTATTAAGTCTCTAATCTTGAGCTTCCAAGCAGGTTTTGTTGGGAAAATGGCAGAGGTAAGCATTTCTATGACTGCCTCTTCTAGGTTGAACCGCTGTACACATTGCCACATTCTTGATATAGGTGAATTCCATGATGGCAAGCTGCACGTTACTATCTGAGTAAGTCTTAACAACATGAGTTGTTTATAAATGTTATTCATTGGCAGACAAAGTATTCCGAAAAACATCAGCAGTCGATCGTACATGATTTTCATTTGTATTGGCATAATCCCGAGGGGCATAATTGAAGTTGGGTTACTACTGTTCTTGGGCAAAAATTGTATGCGCCTGCAAATTTGGCGTTGTGTTACCTCTAGCTGCTCAATTTCTCCTCTCTTATAGTCAATTATTTGATCCCCATATAACATAGTTGGGATGCTAAAACTATTGTACAATTTGGCACTAACAATAGGTGTCAACCCTCCAGATTTACTACCCAAACCAAATAAGGAGTACATTTTCCTTTTCCCATTGGAGCTTGCTCGAGCTATGTGGTCTTTAACATTTCCCGAGGTTGATAATGGTATACCGACGTGTAATGCAGTAATTTCGTTCTTAATGTTCTCTTCACCCAGTTTAAAATTAAACTTGGAGTTTGATGTGTCTCCATATGTTAAAGCAACGCACTTATCTGGATGTAGTATATATCGCCATCTATTACTGTGCATAAACGCCATGTCAATAAGCGTATTCATAGCGTTCGGAAAAAGTGATATGAGTGCAATGTCATCGGCATAGGCTGGGCTGCATGCATTCTCAAAATGGTTTTCTTCACAAGACTGTTAAGAAATAAGAATGAAATTTAGAATGAAGATAAATTAACTTAAAATCCTTTATTGCCCTAAAATATAAAATAAAGTTACTGTGTAAGGTGTGATATTGAATTTTGAATATTCAGAATTATTGAAACAATTTGTTGGATGTATGTAAAATATAAAATATCATTACATGTATACTGAATTGCATTTTACTGTCTTGTATTGGATTGTGTTGTATGTTTTGTATTGTATTGTATTATAGGAGCTAGAAGATGCTTTTATTGAGACCCTGATCAGGTACCAGAGCAGAAGCACTTTACAGTAAGTACTATTTATACACCATAAAATATAAATACTTCTGATTTAATACATTATTTTTAAGCACATGTATTACTGAGACATAAATCACTTGAAACTGTATATGCTGTACATGTACTATGAATCACTATACCAGTCACTGGGTGTCTTTTTTATAAATGCCTTTCATAATTAAATCCACAATGATATCAAGAATAAAACTGCATCAAAATAACAAGGAATCATTACTGATTTGATTAAGATCCAGTTTATTTATGACCTGTTTTAGTATTATATATAACCCTAAAAAAGTGTATAACTTTTAATTACACAAACACCATTTTGAAAGATATAGTGCAATATGCCATATATATGATATAAAACCCTATGTGTTACTGCCGAGCTGAGCCTCAGTGGTCTGGGGTGCAGGCTTCAAACCTGTAGCTGACTAGCGTCAGAGTGGTTCAATTCCACCTGCCCGGCGGAATGTATTTTCTCAATCAGATGATTGATTGTTTTATTGATTAGATAATCAGGCATCATTGAACCATATTATGCTGATAGTTATTACATGTGAATATTGCTTCAAACCTTGATATTGAATCTGTCTGTATTATGAAACATGCATAAAGAATTGTTACAACTCGCTCTTGATTAGCTCACTGTGTAGAGAGGTGCCCTAAATATGTTATGTATTTGTTTTGAGGACCCCCATAGATATGGAAAAACTGTACAAGAATGATGGAAATTCATTTGAGGAGAACTGGCAAGGCAGAATAATTGATAGGTATGGTTAGATTAAAATCCCACTTTTATTAACAGATTGTGATAAGCAAATAAATGAAGAGAAAAAATGAATGATTTTTAAATATGATAGATAGATAGAATGGTAGATAGGTATGGTTAAAATTCTCACATTTATATATACCAATTATAAACAGCTTGCAATTGCTACAAACAAATAAATGAAAAAAAGTAATGAATGATTATGACTATATTGGACTCTTACACAGGCATTTGCTGCTGAAGATGCAACGAGACCTCCGTGCCCAGAGTGCCAACCAGAAGCGCCACCTGTTGGATGTCCGCCAGAGAGAGAAACGAAGATCTCTGCTGGGCCACAGAGAAGGTAAGAATTTGGAATTTCTTATTTGCTTGACTTAAATGTTCTCAAATAACATACAGGGTGTTCCAAAAGTAACAGGACTGGTGCTGGCATTTAGGGCTTCAATCTTTTACATAATGTACTATCAAGTATTGCAATTAAAAGGGTAAAGAACTATGAAACTGGGATACAGTAATGGTTGCTATGGTGACATGACATCACAGTACCTGGGACAACATCCCACACAAAAGTTACAGAGTTTTAGCATTTTGTACATCCCAGATGTCCAAATTGAAATGCAACAGCTGGTAGGAATTAAAGTTTTACATATGATATCCCTATGTATCCTTTACTTTGAGAAGTAGACTCCTCTTTGGTCAATAAAAGCGTAGTGACAGTGGACCCATGCCTCTTAAAACATGAGTGACCCCATTTGAGGACATGTTACACAGGGTATTTGGACACCTTTAATAAGGTCATTTCCATTTACAAAGGTCATACTGCACTGATTGGCATTCCATTCTCCATACCAATAAAAATCAGGTATTGCATGATCAGGAGAATATATTGCATGGTCTAAGACCTCAAGACCTTGCTCCTCTAAAGCTCATTGCAGTGGTCTTTGCTGACTTGTAGTAGGTACATTATCAAGGTGGATGATTGGCTTCAAATTGGATCTATTTAAAGAATTGTACTGAATTGTACGAAATGTCATAGATGATGAAATTCCAGAAATTGAATAAATATTATAATTATGATGAAATCACACTTAAAACTGAGTTGTATAGCAACAGTATTGCAAAAAAACAAAAAAGCAAAAACTAAAAAAGAAATATTTGTTGAAGTAAGTGAATTTGATACTAAGATCTTTAATAATTCAAAAATGTTATCACATTTTCTTGGAAAAGTTATGTTACCATAGTAACCATAACTCTACCTGCATTTCACAAGAGTTCTTGCAATCCTTGAAAGTACATATAATGTACAATATCATAAATTTTTGCTCAAACAATTTGTAAAAGTTAATTAAACAAAATAATCATGATGATTTATGGCATATTATATTAATATTTAAAGGATATACAACCCAATCAGACACATCCTTACATGTGTTACAAGTAGAGCGGGCAAACAGTGCACCAACTGGAACAATGAAAGAACGTCTGCTTGCAAGGTCAAAATCTGCTCACCAGAGGCCACCACTAAGGCCCAAATCTGCATTTATGCAATACAAAGAGGAAGAGGATCTGAGTGCCAAATGGCCATTTAGGTACATGTGACATATTTATTCATATTTATACCATATATTATACCATTGGATCGCTGGTATTGTTTTGACTTAAGCAATTATACATTTGGAGGATATTCTGGGAAAATTTATTGGATGTATTTTTAAAAAATAATGTAGTAAAACCCATAATCTGGCCATATACTGTTGACTCTTAAAGTACAATTTTTAATAAACTCTATAATATAACATCAGCCTAGAACCATATATGTTTCTTTTTATTACAATTTGACAAAATGCTATATTGCTGTGTTGTGTTGCTAAGTGGATGGGCAAATGGGCTACACATAAATTTTGCCATCAAAATTGGAGTAAATTCATCCATTGATATTTTTAGATACAAAAGCAGACTATTGCCATGATCTGAATAGGTTTTGGGCATGCTGGGTAAATTACTTGATGGCCATTTTGCTCTAAGTGCAATATTTACAATATTTATGACTGTGTGCCTTCTTTGCTTTATAACTGGGCTTAAATGTTTGATTTTGAAAGGCATAGCTTGAAACCAGGGATCGAAGCATTAGCTGAGAAGATCCCAAGGGAGGAGGATTTGGACATGAGACTAATGGACCCTAGGAACCCTATCTCCCATGTCTTACGCCAACCAGTCAAGTCTATACCCAGCAAGTGCAAGTGAGTATGGCCCCATGTGAGGAAATCCCTAGTTGATGTTCATATTTCAAATGCAAACTAAAGTACAGGAGTAAAGCAAAACTTATGTCAACAGAGACATTCTCGTTGTTAATTACATGTAACACTCTAGATATCAGAAACTTCTTTCAGTTTTTAATATGTTTTTGAGAGAATAGAATGGAATAAATATTAAAAATATACATGTGTTCATGTTTAGGAGATATTAATTTAAATCATTATTAATCACTTGGTTGCGTCAGGCATCTTATTTGGGAGACATTCAAATCTATCAATCTGAAGAGTGTCTTACATTTGTTTGGTTTAAAAAATGGATTCATATCTTTCATCTGATTTTCTTTTATTCTTTCAGTCGTTACATTCTAGTCACAAAGGAAAGAGAGAAAAATAAACAGCCGATGGCTACACCTTTAGAAGAACAACTAATAGCAGCCAGATTTCCAACATTTAAGAAGAAGTGGTTAAAGGAATCAGAACCCCGAAGGAAATCTATAGCAAATTATATGAACCTGGCTGGTTTCCAGGTTTAAAGACATTAAAGCATCAATAGAACATGAGATTATTTTATTTATTTGATGATGAGACAGTTAGATATTAGAGAGGTTTCGCACAATGGATAATAGCTTAAACATATCTGCAAACCCATCTCGTTCTATAATTGAACTGCTACGCATAAATCTGTCAAATGCGTTACGGATTCCACATACCTTAAGCTAAATCCAATGTGTGAAACCTCTCTTATATCCACATATACTCAACATAAGTATGGAGACTGTATACGCAGTTTTACCAAACAATTTTCATATTCCGTCCACATAAATAAGCAGTCAGAGGGTGTTCTTTTAAAAGCACTCCCACAAGAACACCCATTGCGATTTGAAACAGTTAATTTTTTAAGGTACATTTCAATGTGTAGTATATATCTGTATGATCTGGAGCATCAGGTTTTACCATTTATCACTTGTTATTTATTTAGCATATAGGCAATGTGCCCATGGGTAGTTTTATTGAGTTAAAATACAACCATATCAACCAACTTAATATGTAAAGTTGGATTAATTTTCTTTTTTATTTTATGTTCGATTGTATTTGTATGTAATATTGCAAAACTCAGGAAAATATGTTATTTTTGTTTCTTTGATTTCATTTTGATTTATATTTCAAAAATGAGCAATAATTTTAATCAGATTAAAATACTGATATTCCATCCAAGGTTTATACGACAAAGTTTTATTTTATTTTGTATTAAGTTTTCAGAAACATAATTAATATGGTACAAGAAAAATTGAAATAAATATTATTTATATAAATCTGTGTTTTCATCTTTTTTCAACTAGGAATCAGAGTATTTCCAGAATGATTCAAATGGACCACACTTTTAGACCATTTTGAAATTCCAGATTCTCTCCATTGCATCCTTTCAAACTGATGATTGTCAAATGACATATTCACTCCATGGAAGAACAATGGCCTAAACAAAACAGTGGTAAATACAACATATTGCACAAATAAAATGCTATCCTCTTAATTTGGAATTATTTTCTCAATTATGATGAATCATCTTTAATTTTCTCTGGGTCAATCAAACTGGGTCAATTAGTAAAAGAAAAGTGACAAACAACCATACATGCCATATGTTTATTTAATTTTAGTCTGTATTTAAAATAGATCATTCTATAGGCCTATACAAACATGATTGATCATATAAGTGGCATATACTTGATGTATATAATACTTCCACATCCACATAGTCTTCATTATAATGATCAAAAATGAATAAATCACGTTAAACACATGAACATTATTACTTTTTGGTACATTAATGTATATCAAAATGATAACAATCAAAACCTTCATCAAAAATTCCAAATGTGCTAAAATACATTGGGGATGCAGGCAACGGCACATAACATATCAGAACAGGGCATTAAAATGTGAAATGTCACCACCTGCCATTAGTATTACAGACTCTGAATGCCAAATGCTGGCCACAACAAACCATCCACAAAAAAAGTTGGAAGACTAACAATGTCGTCATTGATGACATCGTCGTCATTGATGACATCGTCGTGTTGATATTTTTATGTATTTTAATTACAGCAGCTATAATAATAATATTAATATAGGCTAGTTCTCTTTCAATATAAATGTATTGCACTCTCCAAGCTCAGCCAAATCCATAGCCAGGAATCAGAAATGTTCCATATTTACCTCCTTGTTTCAAAAATGGCCTCCATTTTTCTCCAATTCTCTAAGGTAATTTTTACAATTACATTACAATTATTTGTTATAACCAAGGAGCTGAAGCTCCCTCTGGCCAGAAATTCTATCAAAATCATGCAGTTTTTCACTATTCTGAGCACTTTTCGCCTGAATTTATTTTGAGCAGTTTTTGCTATGAATTGTGGGCTTTCAACTAGAAGGGTAGCCCATGTATGAATTAACTGAACTTTTATCTCTGAACTTGATGAAGATTAAGGTGTCAACATTCATAATACCTTATCTATCAACCTGAAATGATGCAGTTTTTGTAAGCAAAGCTGCCTCAGTTCAAATTTCATCAACCTCAAATAGATTTTCAAGTACTTGCTTTTTAGTCAAAAGTGCTCACCTTCCAGTCGACCAACTGAAACATCATTATCGATCAAACTTGTAATACTCAAATTAGTCCATTCAATTTGACACGTAAACTTTCATTACATTCATTTCATTTACATTCATTTAATAATAGAAAATCCAATTCAATTTCAGAAATGCACTGTGAATGTAGCGTATATCTCTGCTACAACATTCAAGATACTTGTACAGTTCAGAGGCAATTCTAAAATGCTATTTTGCATAATAAGTTAATTAGCCTGTTTTATTTTTTCGTAAATTTTTTAGTAAATTCTGCTATCTCTGATGTTTGTTATAATCCTTTGTTGAAGTATACAACATCAGGGGTGTTGGGTAATGCCTTCAGTTTTTCCTGCAGGTCTGCTTCTAATGAGTTGAGAGCCATTGAGCTGGAAAATCAAATTATAATCCCATATAACTTGAATTGTACAAACATCTGGAGATAAGCTGGATACCATGATGAACCAGCATCACATCACAAAATTTTCCAAAATTAGAAGGCTAACAATTTCCAAAGTGTCTTTTCTTGATTTATTGAAGTCATTGTAAAATTCGAATTTTGCCTATAAAATTCAAAAACTGGTAAAAATCTCTAAAATTCATAATTAAAATAAACAAAAAATTTGAAAAACAAATGTAAGATGTCTGAAGATCTGTTTTGGCATGCAGTTAACAGCAAATAATTTCCTTTAAAATCAATTGGACTTCTTACCTTTTCTGTGGGAAGAGAGCACAACAAAGTGGTGTGGCAAAAACCAGCATGAAACCCACTAGACCAACTTGTATAGGAGCATTAGCCCAGGGGAATCTCTACAACAATCAAATCACTTTTTGTTAATCAACTAGCACACAAGTATTCATCTGGCAAGTAAGTAATCAACTGGCAAATACCAGCATATTAGACTAGCTGGTATAGGAGCATTAGCCCAGGGAAACCTCTACAACAATCAAATCACTTTTTTTAGAATTTGCATGTGGATAACATGGGCCATTTGTAATTCATATGATTATTTAACTGTATTTAAATCATAGTTTTACAATAAACAAATCAATATGCTATGGTACAATATGAATACATGTACAGCACAACTGGTGGGTAATCATGGCAATATAAAGTGATGTACTTACTTTTAAAATCGTTGTTTTATTTTCCAAATACTGCATTATAAAGGGAGGAATTACTGAAATATAAACACATTTAGTATTAAAAATCATGCAAATATTATTTCATTATATACAGGTAAACATACTGTAGGAATTAAGGTCCTTAGAAAACATACAGTAACCAACTTAAGCATAATTGTGAACAAGGTATTAACATACAAAATATCACCACCTGCCATTTGTTACAGACAATAAACAATGACTGCCTATAACAATATGTTGCCACTTCTGGTAGTGACATAAAAATTAAAGATCGAAATATAGTGTTTTCTATTGACATTGATCCAATGACAGTAAAATAAATCAACAACATTTACAACATATTTTATTTAAAAAATGAGCCCAAGATGACCCTAAGGGTAAATGACTTAATAGAGTACTCACACATGCCAGGTGTGGCCATACATATCCTAGAGAACACCACTAGACCTATAGCTTTCTTAGCTGCTGCCGTTGATTCTCCCACCCTCTCTCCCTCTGCATTATATACTGGGATACCATTCACCATTTCACTGAAATAGGAAAAAATAAGTGTATTGAATACAGGTAATTTTTCCAAATTTTTAAAATGCAAACACTTTCTTAACATATATTTTCTTGATAAACCTCCAAAATGTCATATATAGGTCTCCATTGTTTTTTTTTGTTCAGAAAATACTCACAATCCAATGTATCATTATCTAAAATTACTTTCTTTATTCTACAGTCTTTGTGTAATCATATTGAATTAAGACCTACCTATTCCTCATACAAGGTATATTGATACAGTTAGCAGCAGCAACAGCAGTGAATGGGACAAAGCGACCAACTATAGGTGGGGCTTTCTGAAACATACAAGGTATATTGATACAGTTAGCAGCAGCAACAGCAGTGAATGGGACAAAGCGACCAACTATAGGTGGGGCTTTCTGAAACATACAAGGTATATTGATACAGTTAGCAGCAGCAACAGCAGTGAAAGGGACAAAGCGACCAACTATGGGTGGGGCTTTCTGAAACATACAAGGTATATTGATACAGTTAGCAGCAGCAACAGCAGTGAATGGGACAAAGCGACCAACTATAGGTGGGGCTTTCTGAAACATACAAGGTATATTGATACAGTTAGCAACAGCAGTGAATGGGACAAAGCGACCAACTATAGGTGGGGCTTTCTGAAACATAGAAGGTATATTGATACAGTTAGCAGCAGCAACAGCAGTGAATGGGACAAAGTGACCAACTATAGGTGGGGCTTTCTGAAACATACAAGGTATATTTATACAGTTAGCAGCAGCAACAGCAGTGAAGGGGACAAAGCGACCAACTATAGGTGGGGCTTTCTGAAACATACAAGGTATATTGATACATTTAGAAGCAGCAACAGCAGTGAATGGGACAAAGCGACCAACTATAGGTGGGGCTTTCTGAAACATACAAGGTATATTGATACAGTTAGCAGCAGCAACAGCAGTGAATGGGACAAAGCGACCAACTATAGGTGGGGCTTTCTGAAACATACAAGGTATATTGATACAGTTAGCAGCAGCAACAGCAGTGAATGGGACAAAGCGACCAACTATGGGTGGGGCTTTCTAAAAAATACAAGGTATATTGATGCGGTTAGCAGCAGCAACAGCAGTGAAAGGGACAAAGCGACCAACTATAGGTGGGGCTTTCTGAAACATACAAGGTATATTGATACAGTTAGCAGCAGCAACAGCAGTGAATGGGACAAAGCGACCAACTATAGGTGGGGCTTTCTAAAACATACAAGGTATATTGATACAGTTAGCAGCAGCAACAGCAGTGAAAGGGACAAAGCGACCAACTATAGGTGGGGCTTTCTAAAACATACAAGGTATATTGATACAGTTAGCAGCAGCAACAGCAGTGAATGGGACAAAGTGACCAACTATAGGTGGGGCTTTCTGAAACATACAAGGTATATTGATACAGTTAGCAGGAGCAACAGCAGTGAAAGGGACAAAGCGACCAACTATAGGTGGGGCTTTCTGAAACATACAAGGTATATTGATACAGTTAGCAGCAGCAACAGCAGTGAAAGGGACAAAGCGACCAACTATGGGTGGGGCTTTCTGAAACATACAAGGTATATTGATACAGTTAGCAGCAGCAACAGCAGTGAATGGGACAAAGCGACCAACTATAGGTGGGGCTTTCTGAAACATACAAGGTATATTGATACAGTTAGCAGCAGCAACAGCAGTGAAAGGGACAAAGCGACCAACTATAGGTGGGGCTTTCTGAAACATATAAGGTATATTGATACAGTTAGCAGCAGCAACAGCAGTGAATGGGACAAAGCGACCAACTATGGGTGGGGCTTTCTGAAACATACAAGGTATATTGATACAGTTAGCAGCAGCAACAGCAGTGAATGGGACAAAGCGACCAACTATGGGTGGGGCTTTCTGAAACATACAAGGTATATTGATACAGTTAGCAGCAGCAACAGCAGTGAAAGGGACAAAGCGACCAACTATAGGTGGGGCTTTCTGAAACATACAAGGTATATTGATACAGTTAGCAGCAGCAACAGCAGTGAATGGGACAAAGCGACCAACTATAGGTGGGGCTTTCTGAAACATACAAGGTATATTGATACAGTTAGCAGCAGCAACAGCAGTGAATGGGACAAAGCGACCAACTATGGGTGGGGCTTTCTAAAAAATACAAGGTATATTGATGCGGTTAGCAGCAGCAACAGCAGTGAAAGGGACAAAGCGACCAACTATAGGTGGGGCTTTCTGAAACATACAAGGTATATTGATACAGTTAGCAGCAGTAACAGCAGTGAATGGGACAAAGCGACCAACTATAGGTGGGGCTTTCTAAAACATACAAGGTATATCGATACAGTTAGCAGCAGCAACAGCAGTGAAAGGGACAAAGCGACCAACTATAGGTGGGGCTTTCTAAAACATACAAGGTATATTGATACAGTTAGCAGCAGCAACAGCAGTGAATGGGACAAAGTGACCAACTATAGGTGGGGCTTTCTGAAACATACAAGGTATATTGATACAGTTAGCAGGAGCAACAGCAGTGAAAGGGACAAAGCGACCAACTATAGGTGGGGCTTTCTGAAACATACAAGGTATATTGATACAGTTAGCAGCAGCAACAGCAGTGAAAGGGACAAAGCGACCAACTATGGGTGGGGCTTTCTGAAACATACAAGGTATATTGATACAGTTAGCAGCAGCAACAGCAGTGAAAGGGACAAAGCGACCAACTATGGGTGGAGCTTTCTGAAACATACAAGGTATATTGATACAGTTAGCAGCAGCAACAGCAGTGAAAGGGACAAAGCGACCAACTATAGGTGGGGCTTTCTGAAACATACAAGGTATATTTATACAGTTAGCAGCAGCAACAGCAGTGAAAGGGACAAAGCGACCAACTATGGGTGGGGCTTTCTGAAACATACAAGGTATATTGATACAGTTAGCAGCAGCAACAGCAGTGGATGGGACAAAGCGACCAACTATAGGTGGGGCTTTCTGAAACATACAAGGTATATTGATACAGTTAGCAGCAGCAACAGCAGTGAAAGGGACAAAGCGACCAACTATAGGTGGGGCTTTCTGAAACATATAAGGTATATTGATACAGTTAGCAGCAGCAACAGCAGTGAATGGGACAAAGCGACCAACTATGGGTGGGGCTTTCTGAAACATACAAGCACTCATCCTAGTATTCCGTGATTCCGCGTCGCCGCAGAAAAACCGCAGAAATTTGCATTTTCATTTTTTTTGCAGAATTTTTGTTTTGGCACGGAATTTCGCGGAAAACATGATTTTTCCAGTCAACCATCTCATCTCATATTTGTCACTCACCTAAACACCCAAAGACTCCGCTCGTTTGTTGTCAGATACTTGTGTTTTGTCAGATTTTCAAGAGGAAATCTGAAATCTGTTTTAAATTCTCGAACTTCCGCCTTTGCACTTAGAGTTAAGACTGCGTCTAACATAATCACGAAATTTGAAACCGATGACTGTCCCTCGTAATTGTTTTGCAATTATATGCCTAATATTGTATTATTTTGTATTCTAACACAATAAATCATGCTTCTTCTTGCGTTTTACTTCGTCATATATAAATAAACGACATCTGAATTCCCTGCATATTGATCTGGAATTTCGTGATACTTTGAATTTCGTGATAGTTCACAAGTGAGCATTTGGTAAGTTTTGTCGCTGATATTGATTAAAATTGCATCTGGTGTTATTACTGCAGTTGTCCATTATCGCTGAATAAAGCAGCATGAGTGGAGTTCAAGAATTTTGAATTATTCATTTTTTGGAAAAAATTATTGATTTTAGCAAGAATTTCATTTTTTGCACATACTTGAACCACAAAATGTCACTTTTCCCCGTTCAGAATTTGGCGCAGAATTTTAGATTTCATGCAGAATTTGGTGCAGAATTTGGCTTTTTCATGCAGAATTTCTGCGCAGAATTTGCATTTTTCTCATGCAGAAAACTAGGATGTGTGTACAAGGTATATTGATACAGTTAGCAGCAGCAACAGCAGTGAATGGGACAAAGCGACCAACTATAGGTGGGGCTTTCTGAAACATACAAGGTATATTGATACAGTTAGCAGCAGCAACAGCAGTGAAAGGGACAAAGCGACCAACTATAGGTGGGGCTTTCTGAAACATATAAGGTATATTGATACAGTTAGCAGCAGCAACAGCAGTGAATGGGACAAAGCGACCAACTATGGGTGGGGCTTCCTGAAACATACAAGGTATATTGATACAGTTAGCAGCAGCAACAGCAGTGAAAGGGACAAAGCGACCAACTATGGGTGGGGCTTTCTGAAACATACAAGGTATATTGATACAGTTAGCAGCAGCAACAGCAGTGAATGGGACAAAGCGACCAACTATGGGTGGGGCTTTCTGAAACATACAAGGTATATTGATACAGTTAGCAGCAGCAACAGCAGTGAAAGGGACAAAGCGACCAACTATGGGTGGGGCTTTCTGAAACATACAAGGTATATTGATACAGTTAGCAGCAGCAACAGCAGTGAATGGGACAAAGCGACCAACTATGGGTGGGGCTTTCTGAAACATACAAGGTATATTGATACAGTTAGCAGCAGCAACAGCAGTGAAAGGGACAAAGCGACCAACTATGGGTGGGGCTTTCTGAAACATACAAGGTATATTGATACAGTTAGCAGCAGCAACAGCAGTGAATGGGACAAAGCGACCAACTATAGGTGGGGCTTTCTGAAACATAGAAGGTATATTGATACAGTTAGCAGCAGCAACAGCAGTGAATGGGACAAAGCGACCAACTATAGGTGGGGCTTTCTGAAACATAGAAGGTATATTGATACAGTTAGCAGCAGCAACAGCAGTGAATGGGACAAAGCGACCAACTATAGGTGGGGCTTTCTGAAACATACAAGGTATATTGATACAGTTAGCAGCAGCAACAGCAGTGAATGGGACAAAGCGACCAACTATAGGTGGGGCTTTCTGAAACATACAAGGTATATTGATACAGTTAGCAGCAGCAACAGCAGTGAATGGGACAAAGCGAGCAACTATAGGTGGGGCTTTCTGAAACATACAAGGTATATTGATACAGTTAGCAGCAGCAACAGCAGTGAAAGGGACAAAGCGACCAACTATGGGTGGAGCTTTCTAAAAAATACAATATGAATACAATATACAACTATACACATAATAGTACTGATTAGAAGACATAACAAGGCATTAACATGACAAAATGTCACACCCTAGTTGCTCACAATATTATTAGTTAAATCTTATGTCAGATTTAAATTTCTGAGATGGTATTGAAAAAAATTGGTCAAAAGTTGAAAAAAGACCTTTTTGACCTTGGGATGGTCATTGAAGGTCAAATCTTTTTTGACCTTGAGAATGTCACTGAAGGTCAACTCTATAGTCAGATTTGAACTTTTGAGAACTTGTACAGGATTTTGAAAAATATTGGTCAATTTGAAGCAAGTTGAAAAAAGACCTTTTTGACCTTTCTTTGACCTTGAAAAGGTCATTGAAGGTCAAATCATAAATGTAAAGTAAGATTTGAACTTCTGAAACCTTGAAGATGATTTGGAATCTAAACAGTATTTGTTAAGTTATTGGAAGTTTTAAGAACTTGTTACAGACACCAACCGCCAACCGCCACCCACCAACCGCCATAACAATATGTCACCACTTTTGGTGGTGACATAACAAATTTCGTTTTACATATCGTGTTAGTGTTATAGTGTTATTTGCTCATATGGTAACGATCAGTGGATTTTATGCTACTTTATAACTTGATTAAGCAGAAATTTGTTAGCAACCTTTTTATCTCATTTTTATACAAATTGAAGATTAAATAATATGAAAGCTGAATTTGAATCAACCTATCATATCAACTTACAGTTACTAGTTTATTAACTCCAAGTGCAGTGATAACCGCCCCTGATGTGGCAAGAGTGTAGGAGATTCCCAGTGTCCTAAAATTGGAGATTGAAATCAAGAATGAAATCTCTCAACTGTTAATATGATGACATAACAATCAAGGACTTCTCTTTAAAGACTATGGATCTGCAGATATGCACATGTACAGTACTTAAGAATAAATGGCTGGCAAACAGATGATGAGTTGAGCAAAGAAACATTCCTGAATTTCTATTTTTGACAAATTTTGACACACACCTTTTACAAGGCTGTATACAAATGTGAAAACTCCTTACTTGAGTGGTATAGGTGAGTCTCCACTCCTGTTTGTATAGTTGACCACTGCATTGAATGTCTGGTTAATCCACTGCCAAAACAATACTGCTGGAGTTGTCCTGAATATAAACAGAAACATTGATCAATATATTTTTGGGTTAGATACATATTTCAGTACTTGATAGTGCCTCTTTGAATCCTTTTTAATGTCACAATATGGTGACTTATTTGATTATATTTACATATGTTTTCATCCTTACTCTTAGTATGAGGGAGACCTTGAGTCTGACAATTCATAGTGTGATCCTCAACTCTGTGACACTGCCCCGTAACATTGCAGGGTGTAATTCTCAACAAGGCAAATAACAGGCAAAATATCAGCATGTGCCATTTGTTACAGACCCCATTTTAAACCAGGAGGATAAGGGTTAAAGAAGTTGCTCACCTGTACCATGTCATCATGCACCCTGTAATGCTCATGTTCATAGGCACCTGAGCAGACATGCGCCCTATCAACATCATTTTCTCCCCAGTGTCTGGATGAAACGCAGAGTCGTAAAGACTTTTGGCACGCCATACTTCATCTGCTGTTAAACCTGGAGGCTCAGCACGTTTCCTAAAGTTATGAAGAATAATGTAATAAATATGTGATAATTGGCAGAATGCTGTTGTTCACGGTAGTTCATTCAAGAAAGTGGACCTAGTTTCTTGAAAATATATAACAAATAAGTAAACTTACAAGCAGAATCTACAAACTAAACTGACACTTCGTTGCATTCGAAAGCATAAAATAGCAAATTCGCTAAAAATTGTTTGAATTTTTTGATTCATTGGGAAATAAGGGAGAAGGTATATCTGTGCCCTTCACATACCCCTGCTCCCCTTCTGCTCTTCAGGCTCTACTCTCAGGTTACCTGTTTTCTCATATATTAACTGTTTTGCAGAATTTGTGAAAGAATCAAGTACCTACTTATAACTTTCAACTACTGCTTTAGCATTGTCAAGGTCTGATCCAGATGCGAACAGATTCAAAGGATTTGTTGTAATGAAGAAATGCCTTGCTCTCCCGACAAATGTTGATTGGTCATAGCGGGGGGAATCAAGATTGATGCGCCCATCAACATCCAGTGGAGCTTCAGCCATTGTTAATCTGGATCTGGAGAAAACAACAATACACATCCATCAGATTACAATGTTATATTCACCCCTTCTTGTTTTTTCTTCATGTTGAAATGCCAAATTCTGCGAGTGAACTTAGTGATAGCAAAAATTAATCAATTAATTAAAAATATTTCAATTTACCTTACAGAAACTTACATTTTTCAAATGTTATTAAAACACAATTAAATCAAATATCGATGCCAAGATACAGCAAACTTTGTGTAACTTGTAGTTACTTGTAGTGCATATGACCACCATGTATCAACATTAACTAAACAATGTCCTCTTCTTTACTTTTGGCCTTTGATTTGATTGAGTTTTGAACTGAATAGATTCAAAGTCTATCAACTGTAAAAGCAAGAGATATTTGGTTAAAATTTAATTTAAAAGTAACAAAGATGTTGACATTTTGCATCCACTTGACTGCTTGTAAGTGAATAGATAACTCTGGTATAAATGAGGGGATGGACGAAAGGTAAAATCAAACAATGATCCATTCACATTTTAGTAAAAAAAATAGGCTAAAAAATTAATTTTTCTCATGATTCAGAAAAGATGCAGTGTTGCAGATTACGTTTGCTTCACTTCAGCAACTGCCATTACATGGTCTAAAACTGTTGAGTTGTTTCAGCGCCATCCCACATCAAATATAGAAAATCATATACATGTATGTAAATATACATCAAAACCTGTATACAGTGAACACCAGTTGAGCCACAAAAAGTGTTCACTGTAGGGAGGTGGTGTTCACTACAGAGAGGGGATTTTATACAGGAGTCAATGAAAAATGTATGTAAGTGGTGTTCACTAAACACAGGTGTTAACTGAAGAGGTATTCACTAAGACAGGTTTAGGTTTTATTATACATACGAACAACAATATCATAATTCATTATCATAAATCAGAAGATCACAGTCTTCATATCATTACCTACTCTCCAGCGTATCACAACATTATCAAACTACAGACTAACAATTACAAAGTTCTCAATAAATCAATATTTGAAGAAGATCTGTTCATATAATTATCTATACAATGATTCTGCTGTATTATGCTGGTTATTATATTGATCTTTGATCTTTCTTGATTTAATCTTCTACATATGGCATGGTATGTCCAGAATATGAATCTTCACCATGATTGATCAATTGTTAAATCACTTGGTTAAATCTTCAAATTGCTGGAACTTATTCTATATTTGAAGTTGAATGTAGACCCACTTAAACATTGTAACATACAGCCGACAAAATGGTTCAAAAATCTTTTTCTCAGGCTTTAGAGTCAATTTCATGGTTTAAAACCTTCTCTAATGATTCTATTTTCGAACTATGCATGAAGGTCCATTCAAAGTCGTCTATTGAACCTTGAAAAGCCATATTTAGACTGAGGATTGAAAGGAGTTCACAACAATTTCAGCTCATCTTTAACTAGACCGAAAGTGAATTTTCGAGTCAAGTAAATGGTGATGATATTGTTTTTATGAAGCGGGGAAGTCAAAACATTACTAATAGAAATCATAGTAAGCATTAGAAGATCATTTAAAAAAAACATTTTCATGAATTTGTCCGATATCTGCTTAAATATGGTATGTATACTTGCGTTGATTGTTTATTAAATAGCAAAATAGGTAGGGTAAACAGTATGTCAAAGTCATTTGATCTCGTCCTAGAAGCAATTTTTTGTCACTTTTTTCTCCCAGAATCGATTTAAACATAGGGACAAGAAAGCATTAGAAACCACACAGAATATAACATACATGTATGTCTTTCCAGCATGAGCCTTGTCAATCAAAAAATTGGTTTTCTGAAATGGTTCAAATGCTTGTATGAAAACCTTCAGCCTACTAACTTGTGTGTATCAACCAAGTTTTAAAGCTACTTGGATCCATATACCATGGGCTCTACCACCTGATAGAGCCCATGCATATACCAAAGGGCTGCCCAGTCATTTTCTCTAAAACATTTGTAGATTTCTTGTGGTTTGGCTAATAAAACCATATGTGGCTTCTTATTTTGTTGCTTCTCTGACATGTAATTTTAAAAAAATGCCTGCAACTCCCTTATTAGAAGAGGTCATGGGTTTATTGCACATAAAACTAATTTTTAAACGTATTTTTCCATATGATACTACACTTTGGTACTTGGGTATTGAAATCTTTAGGTTGAAAATAAACTAAATTAATGGTTATTTAGATGAAATTCAGCTTTGAGTCAACTACTGGCAATGTTTTAAACACAAGTTTTAAATGATTTCAATACACAAGTACATGTAGTTGTGGTCGTGGGGTGATATAAAAAATCAATCCCAAATTTATTAACTGACCCCAACCTAACTGAAAGTACTATATTGAATCAGGATAAAACTGAAGAATAAGGCAAAATGTAGCCTTGCCCAAGTTGGTATTTTCTTTTTTACTTATCTGATCTTGAAATCAAGATAAGTAAAAGAGACCGACTTGGGCAAGGCTAGGCAAAATGATAATAATATATATACAGTGCTGATATATAATAATATAGGATGCGTTTTCAAACTAAAAAGAGTGTTCCTACCAAAATGAATTTGCCTACATACCCCTGAAACTCTTATCTGATAGATAAAATGCACAAATAAAACAAAAGTTTTGCAATTATAGGTAAAAAGTTCTCTTGAAATTTCCAAGTGATTTTACCTGTTAATTCTGTCCATGGTCGGCCATTTTTGCGGAAGTTACACTGAAACGCAAACTCCATGAAACGAAATCACTAGAAAAAAACATGGCACACATTGTGCGCATGTGCAGCAAAGTTTAGACCAATTAGATTATTTTGCGCACGTGAATTATTTGCTTCCGAGCACTTACAAGCTTGCCACAATAAACAAACCTGGCAGAGACTACCCTTAGCCTACTTCATTTTGGCGAAATTTCAGCTCAAACTCGTGAAAAATGCATTATGCATACGCTGGTGTGAAGCCTTGGAGACACTCATTTTGGTAAATATGATTTATGGGGTATACTTTTCTGCAGTTTGTGGGAGTTTGGGACATTAAATGTTAAAATTCAAGAAAATATGCCAATTAAACGACTGATCAATTAATATATACCAGCACTGTACAGTAGATTTTCCTAGCGTAAAGGGTCATGCTGCGAAAAGTATTGCTCCTGTACCTAATCGGAAGAAGGTAAACCTGAGAAGGTAAACTGTAAGACCATGGGCTTTCAATTATAGTTGAAAACCCATGGTAAGACACACCCCCAGGACACACCTCAATGGTCTTGGATGTTCATGATCAGTGATGGGAAAAGTGAAATACTCCCATAATTGTCAATTGTTAGTTTCTCATCTTTGATATTTTCGAATTTACCCCACAAACCTGTCATTTGAATGGAATGATCAGGGGTTACTCACTTCGAGAGCCATGTTAGATTTTGAAACTTATGGCTCTCAAACGGAGAAGTGAACAGCTGATCAATAGTGACCTTTGAAACTGAATTAAGTCGATCCGCGGCTTACTTTTGGTCTCTAACTGTGTCTTACATCAGTATCATCAATCCGTGTAAGTATTGGAGCGCTGGAGTACTTCTTTTTCGATCAAGACTTGTAAATTGTTCATCGAGTTAAAGTTTTACAGACCTATTTCCAATATGGCGGACTGCTAGGTGCGAGATACGCAACGAACGAAATGAATTTTGAGAATTAGTTAGGTTCGGACAACCTCCGGAGATTTACGAAAATGTCCGAGCAGAAACCGCCATATTGGAATTTGGCAGTAAAACGATTCACTCGACCTAACAATTACAAGTCTTGATCGAAAAAGAAGTACTCCAGCGCTCCAATACTTACACGGATTGATGATACTGATGTAAGACACAGTAAGAGACCAAAAGTAAGCCGCGGATCTACTTAATTCGATTTCAAAGGTCACGATCACTGAGCTGTCCAAATGCTCCGTGGGAAAGCTATTATATCAAAATCCAAATAGCTTTCGCAGGAAGTAAATCAGGGGATGGTTGATTGATGATGACTGAATCAAAGTGGTCACCTTCAACTGGCCTTCTAATAATCATTTGACAATGAAAATTCCAAAGGGATTCCTTTGAAATACCTACCAAAATTATAGCAAAGATATTCAGGAATATTCTGCCAGCTGTCAGTTTGTTATTTCTTCTGATAACAAGCTATAATTGGGAAAGTATCAAAGAAAATGTTACCTGTTACTTTTTGATGTTTGCAGAATAACTGAAGTTGATCTCGTCCTCTGATTGGTTTAAAAAGTAGACACCAGAAATCTTATTTGAAATCTGTAGTGAGATCTGATTTATAAGATTTATTTTGACATATACAATGCAGCAATACAATTATATATTAATCTTTCATTCATTCCAAATAGAACTCTGCCTAAATATTACCAATTGATTTGAGGCTGAATGATTGATATGTATTACCTAAAAACAATATGTGGTGGGTCAAGTCTAAATCGAAAGTAGGTCAAAATGGCTGGTGGAGGAAATAAATATCGGAAAAGAGAGAAAAGAAATGCACATCTCCAGCAACAGAGAAAAGGTATTCCAATCACTATAGTTCCAAATAGTTTATTGTCGAATAACGTTCATTCGAAGATAAATAATTCAACATTATCTATTGTAATGAACTCACAAGATGGATAGACATTGTTTGTTTACATCTGATGATTTCAAACCAGATTTGTCTTCATTGATTTTTTGCTTTGACTCAAAGTTTGAGTAGAAAATCTATATACATTTTACATGTTTTACAATCATATCAGATTTTAGACATTAGTCTACATGTTTGATTTATCACCATTATCTTGAAATCCCATGATATTGTTTACAATACCAGTGAACATGTAAGTTTTAGTGTTGTCGCGATTATCGATACATCGTGATATACATCGCCAAAGCTGGTTCTGGCGATGCATCGATGTCTGAAACAAAACATTGATGTTTTTAAAAAAATTTAATTTGGTAAAAATCGCCCTTTCTTATCTTATTTTGATGCAAATTGCTTACCTTTTTTCATGTCTTATTTCATTTCCCAATGTTTTCTGATATTCTTTCGCTTTAAACTGTTTTAGCTAGTCGAAACGAACCATTAATCTAAAAACTTTACTTTACTTTCATTTCACCGTTACTAGAAGTTCCCGGATGTACCAGCGTATTCTTATTAATTTGTTCTGTTCGGTATTTTAGTGCATTAGGGTTCGGTATTTCAGTGCACTTTTCTCGAACTTTTTCTCGATGTACATCGCAATGTGCATCGATGTTTACTACTGAAAATTGCCGATGCATCAATGTACGATTATGGCACATCGCGACAACACTAGTAAGTTTACCAAACCTAAAAAAGCAAACCACAGTGCAACAAATGTATGGCCTCTTGTACTTTTGTCGTTTTGATGCTTCTTTGCCAAGTTAATGTCTCTCAATTAGTGCCCTCACTAGCTAGTAATCATGCGATCAGGTTTCAGTTACAGAATAAATATGTTTTAAATAAATTCGAGTGTTTGGGGCTTATGTACATAATTGCACATAAGATACTTCTTATTCCAGGTGGTTTTGATCCATTGGCTAAGTGGCACTACTTGCAGGATGCTGCACATGCCTTCAGTCAGCAGAATCTCATCTGGGTGGCATCATCAGGTTTTCTCATTTACTACACTGAAATTATAAGCACTGTAATGTACAACGAACAAATAAATAGGTGATTATGAATTGTTTATTGTCAAATTATGATATTTACTAGTTTATTAGTACAGAGGATCATTATTGAATTAAACAAAGACCCACTTCGCGTATTTTCAACGTTTTTGGGCAAAATAAAGACTTACATTTGAATTTCGTAGTATGTCCAATATATTGATAAGAACCTTATCTTTTATTTGACACCAACAACAGCTCAAACAGACCACATCAAAGCTTACAATAAATTATCAAAAAATATTTTAGATCTGTCAAGCTTTATACATCAAGTTTGTATTACTTATTCATTTTTATAGAAGTGTTGCCATCTTTAAAATCAACAGTAATTTAAAACAGGCACTTTGTTTAACAGGTGCATGCATGTCTAATGATTTCTGAACTTCAAATGCTTTTTTCTATGTGAGTTATTTTTCTTGGTTCAATATTAAAGCAAATCAAACTTTGTGTCATATTTGAGCAAGAGTGTGAGTAACATGTTTCAATGCTTTTTTATTTTTTATTCTAAATTAAGTATAGGGGGCCTTTAATAATTATTTTTATACTTTCATTCATAATATATGATTCAAATATGTGTTTGTCTTGATATATATTTATCTGTTTCTTGGTTACTCAACTTTCACATATATAATGACATAACAATTTATACACTGTTTTGTACCGTAGAAGAGATAGGATGAGGATTATAAGTTATACAAATTATACATATGTTTCATTTATCAATCTTAGTCCCATTTCAGATGACATGTAAATAATATGTGAAGATGTCTTTGAAAAATTTTTGCCTCCATTTTATTTTCAGGACATGGCTGTATGTAGGGGCTGGTCTTTTTAGTGCAACAGTTGCTATAGCGATATACTTGTGTCACTGGGTAACAGGAAAATATGGGGTACCACCAGATGACTGGATGAAAACTAATCCACAACTTATACCATTAGCCATTGTATGTTTTCTGTCCAGCTGTATAAGGTAATTCAATATTCATGAGCAACAGTTGTTGAATCCTTATTGCACTGATCTTTTCATTATTTACCTATGTCAACAAAATATCAATATACTGGTTGGTCCAAAAAGATAAACAAGGAAAAAACTTAGACCCCACAAAACATAAATGTCTGTAAGACAAGTCTATTAAAAAATTGTTTTTTTTCCTTTCAACAGAGCATACTACTAATCAAAATATATACATCTCTTTTGATTTTGGTAACAGTTACATAACTCCCATTTCTTATTTTTCAGTATAACTGTTAGTCTGTGGCCTGTATGGAGTTACTACACACCTGGAATGCTATTTGTTTATGTGATGGGACTTATATCAGTAATTTATATAATTCCTGGACTTGACCAACAAATACGAGACAGATTATAGCCTCAGTACAAGTACAGGGTGGTCCAAAAAAATAAGATGCACATGTTACAATGAAACAAGGATATTCTGTTGATAACATCATTCTGTGAACAAATACACCAGACTGCAAGAGCAGCATATATATACTCAATCATGATACAAGGGATTGTTAAATGATTCCAATCCCCTGCAATTTGTTACACAACAGGTCATCCTCATCACCACATTCAACACATTATACTCTAACAGTATACAATAGGAAGTTAGTTGTACTGTTGTGAATAGATCTAAAAATCTAACTTTGATCGCAAACAGAAGAGAAAATTGTTCAAAATAGTACTTGGCTTACTTTTTTGAGTTTTCTTTAAAGCAAGCAGCAGTTTTCCCCGCCTGGTTTTCGTAGTATCCACTAATTGCATCTCCAGAACAAGTTTTCACATAAAAAGTGAAAGGGATAAAACAGGCTTGATAATATATTTGCAATTAAGTTTTTTCTGGAAACACCATTATTATTAATAGTGAAAATTAGCAATTTTCATTTTAGATGTTTACTTCTTAAAGGGTGACGCATATCGTTTAGCAAATCGAACGCTCGTTTCTGGTGTTGCTCACCGTTTAGTATAAAAGGCCCGATCCCGGAATAATACTCCAGGGTTCACAGGTTCGGGGTCGTTGTGTCAAGACCTCTAACTGTTATATAGCATAAGTATATTATAGATCGTCACACATTTATAAAAGGGTGATTTTTATTTTGAAAAATCAATTCCACATTTATGGGTGAAGTTTCAGGATCTTCTATTTGTGTATAATAAGGAAAAATTGGCATCTAAATTTCCCCATAACGTTATAGCACACAGCTTGACATATGAAATATCCTACAAATGAAACAAAGCAAGACAAACCGGTTTCTAATACAAGGATTTATATTGGCTGTTGTACATGTATTCTTTGAACGCAATCACTCTTTGGATAAAGTTTTCAAAATCATTATAAACGGATTACTTTATCTCAAAGACAATTTCAATAAACTGGATTTTACAGAACTCCCCTAATTTCTTAAAAATGGACTGATCCAGTTGATTCGCCTGGAGTCGCCATATTGTTTTTATACAGGATGCTAATCGGAACCCTTTAAAGGAGTATCAAAGTCTCGGGAAGAGTTGGGAGTAACTTTCGCAATTTTACAAAAAATGCTCAACATTCCATGGCATGCATTTTTTTCACTTTATGTGAAAATATGTGCACCAAATATTGTAAATTCAATGTTAACCAATTAAATATTGGCATCCTCCTAAGCAGGTGTCCAGAATCTGTACCTCCTTCTTCCCCATGCTATAACCAATTTGGAAGCGCCCGATTTTACTGAATCACATGATCTGATTATGTGCAATGACTTACTCATGATTTCTGTCGCAGTGTTGCGACAGCCAATCAGATTGTGAGTTCTTAATCGGGGAAATGGTAACTGCTTATTGCAGGGGGTAAAAAGAAAGAATATTTTCTGGATTTTGAAGCCCTGTGATCGGAGGATGAATATTGGAGGCTGATATTTGTTGTGATGTAACATTTAGTGTTCATTACAGTACAAACAGACCTATTGTAATACTTTAAACCATATGAATATTGCTGTATTGAGTCATGAATCGAAATAGGAATCTCCATCTTAATGGCTTCACCAGAAATTGTTGTAATGATACATTTATTTTGTATTTTTCACTTTTATATAATTTATATTTTCTCTGTACACAACACAACTGAAATAAATACTTGAATATGGATAGAAGAAGTACTATTTTGTTTATATTGTTACTCAAATTTATATGAAAAAAGATTCTTTTAATTTTCCCTTAAAACTTGTGAGTGTTGCAGGCACATATGGGTGTTAAGCATTTAGGTGCTTTAATCCAAATAGAAAATAGGAACTATTATTAGTTATATAGATGGCTCCAGCCACGAGGCTTTCAAGAGAATATTAGAATGAATAACAGCACTTTGGCTAAACATCCCTTATTCATGTCACCATACAAGTCAATGGGCAAAAGGGAAACACCTTATTTTTTATTTCGAGTTTTGATTTGCTGGCCCCACTTGCATATCTAAGGTTCAAAAGCAATGTCTAAGCTACACATTGACACTAAACTCAAAAGGGACAAACATTGAAGTTTTCCTTCAGATAACCCAAATAAACACATTTTTAGAAATGGTATGTTATCATTGCAAAAGGATGGCAACTGTACCTACATACCAGCTTACATGACTCGTCATAATCACCATTGTTGTAGGGACTATATTCATTTTTAAAACTACTTTTTCTATTTTGCACTTCTCCGAGAGTTACAACCCTTCCAAACATCCGAGTTGAAGGAACAATCATGAAAATGGCACCTTTGTGTACCACATGTAACACATCTCCTCAATTTGTTCATCATTACAATGTTGTATGATCTCTTAGTCTTATGATTGCAAAATATCTCACTAGGGTCTTCTGGAAGAACTCATGAACTCATTTATCGAGGTGCAAATTGAATATTACTGGGAGTTAACATCATTCACGAGTGTGATTGGCTCTATTTCACATTTGTAATGAGCTCAGGTAGAGGGTTGATTGTGCGCTGTTGTCAAAGAGGATTAATATACTGTAAATTGTGCTGTTACCATGATATGAGGTTGATTGTGCTCCTCAATGATTGTGCTGTTTGATTGATTGATATTGTTGTTGTCTAAGAGGGTTAATTAATTGTGCTGTTGGCAAAGATGGTTGTACTGTTGTTATAGAAAGCTCGTGCTGTTTTCATAAGAAAATGATTAGATTGTCACACTGAGGCTTGATTGTGCTGTACTGTTGTCACTACCATTACAGATTGTGTTTTATCATGATAAAGGGTTGATTAGTTCCTTGATTGTGCTGTTTGATTGATTTAATACTGCCATTGTCAAAGAGTGTTAATTGTTGTTGCAAATGTGGTTGGACTGTTCTTAATATAGAAGGTTCCTTGTGCTGTTTTCATACTAAATTGGGTAGACTGCCATCACTGAGGATTGATTGTGTTGTTGTCACAGAGGATTAACATACTACCATAACAGATTGTGTTTTATCGTGATAAAGGTTTGACTAGTTCCTTGATTGTGCTGTTTGATTGATTTAATACTGACATTGTCAAAGAGTGTTAATTATTGTTGCAAATGTGGTTGGACTGTTCTTATAGAAGGTTCATTGTGCTGTTTGCATACTGAATTTGGAAGGCTGTCATCACTGAGGATTGCTGTTGTCATTTTATGGTAGGCTCAAATAGGACTTTCTATTAAAAATAGTCAATTTTTGATTGCTCAGTCATAGCATTGCTTTCATCAAAAAGGTTTGGCTGTTCATCAACAACATACTTTATTGATTGTGCTGTTTTTTACGAATAGTCATTAAATGGTCTTACAGTCTGATTGCTAAAGATTTATACCAAGACATTTTGTTAAAGAATCAAAATGCATACATGTAGTTTCTGTTTGATTTTACGACTACTGGTACCTTGTGTTAAACCATGAGATTGATTGATTGTGTTCTCATAAGATGGTTGATTTTGTTGTAATAGCCCTACTTTAGTCTAAGATCAGATGTTCGACCATCACAGATGTTTCATCTACTTGGATTTAGCTCAGAAACATGTAGTAATGATTGATTGCCAAAGTCTCAATCACCTGAGACAGAGTAAGTGCCCTCAGGAGAGCTGTTTCATTTGTCTTAGATGAATTCTAGGATAAATTGTATTTCACCCATAGTCTCATAGGCCAAGTACCCCGGCTTTGCATTCGTTTGACTTCACTTCTTAAAAGAGAGCTTCATCTGTAGTTTAACTAGACTCTGCACGCAGGGTATAGGCCAAGGGAAAAGTAATAGTAAATTGAACATAGAACTCTTCAATAACACCGGGGTGCAATCATTACAATATTCATTGTGATTTATATTTGTGTATTCTCTCCATTGCGCGATTCCCGGGGTTATTTCAAAATAATTCCCCGGGAAAATCGATGTAAACATAAATTAGTTTCTGTATCCCCAGACCCGCCCACTCAGAAAAACTCATGGAAATACGTCATAATCAGCGTTTGCTTCCACAATTTATTGTTTTATTATCGAAGTAGGGTTGTTATTTCAGATCTTGATTGCATATTACAGTACATAACTCAGGAAATCCAATTAAAAGAGTCTTTGTTTACAAATTTTATCTCTGGGAGAATTCCGAAACTGTGTTCTGAGAGGTTTCAAAACGAGGCTCTACATTTCCAACAAGAATTTTTAGGAGACGGACGTGGCGAAAATTTCTCTCGAAAAACACAGAAGATCGACCCCAAGAAGATAGATATACGGACGATAACTGCGATCACTTGATGGGGGATTACGGGTTTGTTCAGAATTCTAACGTAAGAGCACTCTCACCAGTCGATTTTAACCAGTTTTCGAACAATCAATCTTTATTTTCACCCGAGCTGGGTCAAGGTGGAAAAATGCAAGATGAAATTTTGCTCGACAAAGGGCCGTCAAAATCGCAGCAGTTGTCGCCAAATCCTGAAAATGGAACAACTGATCAATGCTTGGAAGACTCTTTAATTCGTAAGGCAAAGAGTGAAGGAAATAGTCCAGTTCCAGACGTAGATCGAAAGGCAGATCCAGTGAGTAATGTAACTTCGACTTTCAATCAGCTTGGGTTGAGTTCAGATTCTGCCAATGCCATCAATACATCAATAGGATCCGCCCCCAACTTCTGGTCAACAAACACAGCTGAAGATTCTCTCCTCCAGAGCTTTCCCACAGCTACGGTAAATGGCACTGTGGCTTTTCAGAACTTTCCCCCTGCCCCTAATTCTATATATAATTCAAATATATCAAATATGGCTCCGCAACAAATGAGTAGCATGAATATTCCACAACAAAATCGTCGCGCAATTACTGGTCAACAAGCACTGCAAAATCAGTTGCAGAATCAGATTCAACAGCAGCTTGAACAAGTTGGCCAACATAACCCCCAACACAATGGACAACACAACACCCAACAACAACAACACAATGCCCAACAACATAACTACGCCCAACAGAGACAACAACAGCAGATGGCAGGAATGTTCCAGCAGAACACGAAGACTTATCCGACCTGGAGCAATGCGGCCCAACAGCAGCAGAACTCATGGCCAAATCAACAACAGGGTAGCAACACACTGTCCCCATGGGCCAGTATACAGCAACAACAGCCAAACAGGAGATCTGTGCCAAATGTTAATCCCATCTCCGCACCTAGTCTAAAGAAACCCCAACACAGCAGCTTTAACACAAGTAACATCATCTCTCCATCAAGGTTTAGACGATGTACATCCTACCCTGGCCAGATCGGACAGCAAGCTATTGGCACTAAGCCTTTTGATATTGGCAATGACCATAGGGAAGGAGGAAACGGCATGATGAGCTATCAGCAGGTATGTGCTTTTATCCTTTAACTTTAATGGCTATTGTTTATCCCGCATTTTCATAAATGCTAATGTAAATCTATGTATTTTATGTGGCGCAATAGAATTGTTTCTGTCCTCAACCTCATTTTAGTCCAATATATCAGAGAGAACAAATCGTGGCGAATTAAGGCGATCAATAGTTCACACTGATACAATCTTTACAGATTGCTCTAACTCAACATTTGTACTGTTCGTGTGAAGATATATTTCTGTACTCAGACAAGATAGCAACTGCGTAATACTTAGTACTCAAGGTAAACATAGGCAGGCCCAGTTACCTTTTAATTATCATGAGGTTGTTTCCATATTTTCGCAGTTATAAATCTCGACGAACTTGATGCAGCTTATTCCTTCTATAGTCTATAAATACACAAGGAAATGAAGTATTGCTACCACCCCCTCCTCCTATAAATGGCATGCTTCAAGTAACAAAGGAAAGTCGTGTAATGAATTAAATTAATCGGGAAATATTTCAAATTGTGATCATTGTCCATGTAATTTATGCAATCACAGACACATCAATCGCTATCATCTCATGACATAAGCCAAAGGTAAGATTGATAATCTAATCCCAAGAATATCATATGCAATCTTATAAGGCATCAGTCTGTGATACCCTCTTATATCTTATATAAGCATCAGATCTCCAGATGATATTAGGGCATTGAGCCATTCATCAATTCATCTAATTTTAGAGTTCTAAAACTGACAGTAGGTGGGTTTGAAGCCAAATTATAATGGCGGAATCCTTTTGATCATCTTATAGATAAAACAATCGTTTTAATCGCTGATCAGCACAGATTTTTTAATATATAGTCTTGCATCAAGCCACATTTAGTCTTGCTACAAGCTCTTGTAAGCCCCCCTCCCCATTACACACCTCAACACAATGATGTATTGGTGATTTGGTTAGGAAGATAAGGGGGGGGGGATTTCTACAATTTTAAAGCAAGACTAACCCCCGTTATATTGAAGGGAGAGGGGGGGGGTGTATAAACTTCATTCCCTGAGAGTTGAGAATATATAAAAGCATAGTTTGATGATGTTGGTAGGGGGTACTGAACCCATATAACATTTAGCTAATCACATTTTCTATTATGAACATGTATTAGAGCATCAGCTGCCTTACTAATTATTCTTCTGATTATACTGCAATCAAACACAAAGATAATACGATTTGTTATTCTGCTATAAACTAATGATAGCACAGTTTGACTTTTCATCAATTTATAAAATGTCATAGTAGAAGGCCCTGAGAGGCAAATTTTGAGTCATGTTTGGCTGGTCATCAGACACCTACATTGATTCCACCTCTCTATAACCACTCTCCAGGCTCCAAAGTGCTTCTATGTTATTGATGTTATGCAACTCAATATACATTCAGTATTATTAGATAATATAGAGAGGCAAATTACTCTTGTTCATGGTAAAACACGAAACGTTATCTTTGATGTTGGAATGGAAGACACTTGAATTTCTAATGGAACATGTTCTTTTTATCAGCATTACCGCTGTGTTTTAGATATTCTTGGTATTTGAACTTCCCTATGTGGGCTAAGAGTTAACAACAGTGTTTCATTGATCAGCTGAGTGAGGCATTGCAGCATTTTTCAAACCACAACGCCATAGTAAGCCTGGTCGCTGACCATGTGCTTCTGTCCAAAATTGAATTCTAAGGTGCATATATATTTGTTTCTTTGATTTAAAGGAATGCACATAATTAGAAGATTTAATTGGATATGGCCCTTGTTATATATCAGAATCAAAGAATTGTTCTGTAACGAGGACAGAACCCAGGTCATTAAGTGTGCTTTGTTCTAGACATACAACCAATAGTAGGCGGGGCTTCCTTGGTAATTAGTCTTTATCATAAATTACTAAAACAATGGAAATCAATTCTTTGGGTCATTACTAATTAATAATATTCTCAGATGAAGAAAAAAAATATTAAATTGACCTCGTTATCTTCAGCATTTTGCACAATGACTTCATTCCTAAGTAGATCTAAACTAGCTGATAGAAAAAATTAATCCAAGTCATCATTGAGTCTCTTCCATCGATTTCTTGATTACATAATGTTATATTCAATAACTTCACTTATTTGATTATTTTCCAGCTCATTTATCTGAAGAACAATAGATTCATTATGTGAGAGAATTATGATGGTAAAATAGTAAAACAGCTGTGCGTTAATATTAGTATATTTAGTGAGAATTTTTAATTGTACCCAATTTGCAGTTATGCCATTCCCATTGTGTATTAACATATGTTTCTAAGTACACAATGGGGTTTGTGTAATTTGTGCCAACTATGCGACAACAAAATCAATCTGTCTCATTGAGGCTTGACTTGATGCAAACAAATGCGACCTTCTATTATACATTTCAAGCCAGTTTATTATGGGGGTATTATGGCCTTTGTCTCTTGTATTGGTTCATATTTGTTTGTTACTTTATGGTACAATAAATAACATTAACATAATGTATCCCATTATCTCCCACAGGAGATAGCACCAATGGGACTATTACATTATATCCTTACTCCTCCAAGGGGACTTTTACATTATAGCCTCATTCCACAGAGACAATCCGATTCAATAATTCATGCCAGCCATCATTGGTGCGTTTTAGCATTCATAAGCTCTGTCGAACTTATTGGATCATGTTTTCAAATATAGGTCGTCTAATAATGTAGAGTTTGGTTTTATTTCCTCCCAAATAATTCAAAATATATTTTGTATGAATGCTCGGAAATGTTGTGCATCTATTTAGATTTCTTTGTCAAGGGATTGTAATTGTATTTGGGCAATGGGGGGGGGGGGGTACAATCGGCAACTTCATACAGCACTAACTTACTTGCACCTATTCTGACATAGTCCCTGACAATCTACCTTTGCAATCTATCCATATGTCATATGTGCATAAAATATTTACATATATTTATTTAGTTATTAGGGTAAGATTATCAGTTTTGTGGCTAAAATGAGTGTTTCTGTTGTTCTTTTTTACTTTCAACACTCAATGATATTAGAAATTACGTAGCAAATCAAGCCTACATAGCTGTATTGCGTGGGAGATGGAATTGAATAGTCTAATTTCAAGCTCAGAAAAACTGATGCGACAGGAACTATAGATTTTTCGCTTTAATTTACTAGTCATTTAGCGTCAGTTTACCATATTTGAAATGTGTTTTATTTTGACATTTGGTGCATTAACAGCTCCTGCACGATGAAGTTATTATTAATATTAATAATTCGGTAGAGAATCTTGTCTAGTACCAGAAATGAATTATGAAATATTGACTGATTTTCAGAAAATATTACAGATTTTTTCTCGATTAAATCTCTGAGAAATACTGACCGTAAAATCTTGGAATTTAATTTGTCTCAAACCGAGATTGAGTGAAGAAATTCATGCGAATATTAGCGTTATTTTCAGTTTCCTTATGACGCATTCATTCATTTCATCCTATTCCATATCTGACATGCTTCACATAGTTGATTGATAACTCCAATATGTACATTAATTTTTTAGATTGACCAATATGGCTCAATATTACATTGTCCATTATTGCGTTCTTGTGGCCAGTATCTGTATTACGTCTCTTGACAATTGTTTGCTTTTCTCTCATGACTAGGTTTGATGAAATGAGTAGAGTCAGGAATTATAATGTCTTCTCTCAAGTCTTTGTCCTCATGAAGTAATGCTTTGAACAGAAGAGGACACTAAGCACATCCATATGTTTTGCTTCTAAGGTTGACTAGATATGATCATGACAAAAAAGGCATTATAATTTATAAAAGCAGAATTTATTGATTTGAAATTGATTTCTATTCGGTAGACTTAAAAACATGAATGTAGCTGTTAAAGAGAGAATGGGGGGGGGGGCAAATACAGGGTCTTATTCAAGAATATATGCATAATCCAAATCATCAATATGTAAGTAGGTTCAAAATCTAGGGCTATTAAATCTTAATACTCTATTTTCCCACTAACTGTTATTGCACTTGGGTGTATTCTTATTAGAATGGATTTAGATCTATATGGTCGTCTATATGTTAATTCCATCAATCAGTTTGTTCTTGTATGGATTATTTCTATTGTTAAAGGTTAGAGAATTGTTATATACTTTCACTTATGAATATAGCAATGTTGATTTACATGTTGAATTGGTTTTCTTATTGATTGTGCACTATTATGTATACTTAATGTCACTTGTGATAGAATATTTGAATATTCCGGGATACATTTGAATTTTCTCTAAACCTGAAGTCATCTGTGAATATATTAAAGTCATCTGTTGGCTGGGTACACTGTTCTCAGAAAGTATGGATGATCGAGCATATGTTGCTTGGAAGTGTTTCAACTGATTTTTGATGCACTGTTTTTTATCATTTCATTTGTTTATTTCACATTTCTACTTTCTAACTTAACATGATTGAATATGATTAGATAACATATGTGTATCTTCAAAATAAGAAGCAGCCTTTGGGATATTGGATCTACGTGTATTTAGGGGTTTTCTAGGTATATAACAAAAAGTTCAAATTGGATCTATTTGGAGGGTTTCTGGGTACATAACAAAGTTCAAATCAATTTACATTTTTACCTGAACTGTAAATGCCTTTTTCAAGTTATTGATATTTCCAACACATGTTGGTATAGGATAAAACAATGTGAATAGTTCATGTTATAGCAGCTGTGTAGGTTAACAATGCCTTACCAACCTACGCTGTTTTAACATTTAATTTCATGAAATTTAACTCTGGTATGGATCTTTATCATGGTGTGCTATCTTTACTGATATGATTTGAAAAGTTCATTGAGATATATGAACTGTTTAGGATGCATAGAATATATTTCTTGTTGTTTTAGTCATCTTGGTTTATTTTTGACTAACATAGGTTTGACTACGACCTTATCTATCCCTCTAGGGGAGGGGGTTATTGATAAAAGATAAAACTGGAGCAAGTATAGAGCTAGAAATTTGCATCAGTATGCCATTGCATTCTAATCCTGCTTAATTCTAGTCTTAAATGGTGCCCTTTATTGCCCCTCACCCCCCCCCCCCATTCCCAAAGACTAACTGAGAAAAACAAATGCCAGTAGATGTTAAAAACATCAAAAGTATAAAAACTGATATTATTTCTTCAATGGAAATAATTACAATGCCTTATCCCATCCATCATTCACTCATTAGAAAAAATCTATAAAAATTCCTTTTGATGTCTTGGAATTGTATAAAGTATTTCCTTAAGATTATATGATATTTTCTCGGCATGTAACATGCTGAATGCATCTCTTCCACTGAAATCCTACCTTGAAGAAGGTAGGGTTAAGTCGGGTCAGGGGTGGTCAATGTCAGTTCATCATTTCCTTGGTAATTGAGCCTCCTAGTTGCCAGTAGTCGACCTTTAACCTTAAAGGATCTAGGTGTACTTTCAATGACCCCATAAAACTGATTTCAGGTCACAGATGTGCATAATGCCAGCCTCATATTGCAGCATAGACTATTTTTGGTATAATCTGATGGGATATAAACAAAAAGCATTCCGTTTTTTTGTCTGTGTTTTTTTAAAATTTGACCACAAAGTGAGTCAGTTACTTTTATTTAGGCGCACTTTGAATTTCAAAACCCACACCACATTTGGTTGTTTTACCTCATGTTTGGTTTTCCCTTTGTCTTATTAATTGTAAAATTGTATTCATTTTTTATGATGCGACCACAAGGTTAAGGTTTGAATGAGTAGATGGGATTAAGACGCCACAAGTCACCCACAAGGTCTCTTGGGTACATCTGCCCTCCCTCATAATATAATTAAAACAAAGGAAATTCTGTCAGGGTGTAATTTTCCCAGTGATGGACTGATATGTGACATTAGTTTAATCCTGGTAAAAAATGAGTGATCAAAGTATAATATATTAGGTTTAAGCTTTGGCACTGTCTTTTGTCTGACTAGGCCAACCTTTTGACCAGAACGTCAAATAGTCAAATTCTTTTTTATTGTTATAAAAAACTATCACAAACAATAGAATACAAGTTTTGTATGAAGTAGCTGCCCTGGTGTCTAATTTAATTATTTTCCTAACTACTGTGAATTAATAGACTAATTAATGATTGCATGGCCATAGTTCTGGGCCATGATAGTCTAAACCTGGCCCTGATTATGTATTGTGTTGCTAGGGGTATCATCTGGTGCCCCAGACTGACATTGACATGACCTCATTTTACCAATTCAGGAAATGTCACCCAGTTGTTCTAAAATGCAGTAATTTGAATTTAGTAAAAAAAAATCCAGGCTCTTTTATCTCTTTCTATTTTATGCAAGTATGGCATGATCATAAAAGGCATTATTTCAATGATAACTTTTTATATTGTAAAAAATTGAATTGGATAGCCGTAACCAATAACACATTCCAATTGTTTCTCTGAGAAAAAATGGCTAATTAATACCCTACCCTGTTTGGTTCAGGGTCACTCTCTTTGGAAGTATGTAATTCTGAATTTCAAGAAGATGTATGTAAAGAATTACAAGTGTCCGAATAGATTCTTGAATTCTATTAAATATTCATTCCGTCTTTATTTTAGCCAAGGAGAATTCCAATCTGACATTACAGCTCAGACTTGCATTAATCACTTGCATTAATCTCTAGTGCTCTTTCAAGAATATTTTATCAAGCGGGTGCAAAATTCTAATTTTCACAGTTTTGACAAAAATTAGACAAAATATGACAAAATCCTATTCTACTTGTTTTTTCAAAACTTTGTGTTTCCTTGTTTCTTGATTGACCATTGGTACACCCCCAGAATGCAATCTGATTTTCTACGCCGTTTCGGTGACTGACTAGTCCAGTACCAAATTTTGGTGTCGAAAGGTTTCGGTGCCAAAATGGTGTGGGAACAGCACCGTATTTTTTCGATGCCGAAACGGCGCCGAATTATATTGACTGTGTAGGTTGGTTTTGGTTAGGCCATATGATAACACGGTTAAGTAGCCATACAAACTTTGGAAACAAAAAAATTACCAGTGAGAAAATAATGAATGTGAAATTTCCTCAGATATAAACAATTAGGAAGAGAAAGTGCATTCTTGAGAAAAACACCTGAGTATAGTCATTATAAGATCGTCTAGAGACAACATTAATTGACCCCTTGCAATAACGTGACTGCATCTAAACTGTTAAAATGTAAGATATTTCTTAAATTTTTCCTGTATCTAATCAGAAAATGTTGACTCTGCATTTTCTGTTAAATGTAGCCAGGTAACATTTATTTCACATTCAAATTACCATGAAATTCCATTAAAGATTCATTTAGGATCATTGAGATCTGACCAATATCAAAATTGTCAGAGGATAATATTGGTAGTAGATGAGGAATCAGGCAGGGTAAACAGTAAGAAGAATCATTGGAAATCCGCAATTCTTGACTGACCTGTGTTTGACTCGGCTTACAGACTAATATATAACATGCAATGTTTCCAATAAGTATTGAATAAGATTCAGCATCTCTTACTTCCATCCAAGTTGAATTTATGTCGGTAATCATATTGTACAAACTTATCCGTTCAAAAATCAATGTTTCGTGATATATTTGATTGCCATACAAATACTCTTCTGTCTCATTATGCTTTGATTTACAACATAAAGTAATATTTCTGGTTATTTGCTTCATTTGAGTTTATTATGCAAAACACAAGTTATCAAGTAATATAATATTTGAATAACAAAGTTTAATTTTAACTAACATAAATCATGAATATCTAGATCTGTGTTATTAGAAGTTACGTTATGATCAAGTTAACTTTGTGCACAATCAACTTCCCACACATTTTCTGGAAAGGAAATGAAATTTAGCTGAATGCTAAAAAGCATAAAAAGATAAAAGATAAAGATCAAGTAATATTTAGGAAACCAATTGATATTAACTTGAATGTATAGCTTTTAAAAATAGCATGGGGAATAACCTAGCTGCAAAGGGAAATGTGATGAAAAGAAATCGTTTTATTATTCTCATCCAAACTTATCCAAAACTGGTCATTACCATCTACATTTTTCATGATATCTAAATTATATTTTATTGTGTATTTACATTTATTCATTGTATTTTATTGTGTATTTACATTTCTTCATTGTATTTTATTGTGTATTTACATTTCTTCATTGTATTTTATTGTGCATTTCAGCACCCTCATGACAGAAACAGCCTTGACTCAATGAGGTTCCCCAACTTAGAAACACATCTGCTTGACATAATGAGATCTGGAATGGGAGATGGCCAGGATCAGCAATATAAAGGTATGGATCTGATTTGATGAGGCCTGCTCTAGCTATTGTGCCTTTGTGCCCCCCTCCCTCATTACACACCTCCTCATGAGAAGTTTTCATTCCTGTGTAGACTCAAGTAGTGGGAGGGGATCATAGGGGCATGTAGCTAGACTATGTGTTGCCATTATGTGCCATTGTTTATGTCACCGTCAAGAAGTGGTGACATATTGTTACGTTTTTTGCGACCAGCATTTGGTGTCAGCTGCTGTTGTGATATTTGTCCAGTGTGACATGCCTTGTCTTATTTTATTGTCTCCAGAAGGATAGGTTTCTGCTATCCCTGTCACCTACCACTCTGAGGGTCTCTAATATAAATTTTTGATATTCATGTTACATCCCCTTGATCTCATCTACCATGGGAGTTGAAATATTCAAGACATCTTCATTATCATTGGAAAGCCACATCATTCTCACTACAGTTGCTTCTTCTATATGCATGGTTTTTTATGGCATCCCCTTTATCAGTTCCATGCGATAATATTCATAAAGCAACAGTTCATAGACATTCCTGAGGTAAAGATAAAAATGGAAATACTCTCCTATGTGTAGTGTTCTTGCTACTCATCTCTTAAAAACATGGTCAGTTCTCTTTAGGCTGAGGCCCAAACAAAGAGATAAGCAAGCCATGGAAATTGTCTGCTATGCTCTTTAAACCCAACATCCTTTTTGTATTAATTAGCCTAGTCTCAGCCCACATCTGGTCAAACTCCTTTTTTGACCTTCAGGTAACTAGGTAGCCTTATCTTTTATACTACTATACATCTGCGAGTATTTTGCTCCTTCAAAGGCAATATGTATTGTTGCTTCTGTAGCAACTGCTGCTTTGTATTGCACTCTACTCTCTAATCAAGCCTCTTATTTATGTGTCCATGTGGGGTGGGGGTATTCTAGGGATTGGTGTATGATTTCTACTGCTGTCTTTTATTTTTCTCGAATTAATCGTGGAGAAAGAATGGTTGGAGGGGGTCATTATTTTCAGATTCTTGGTAGGAAGGCCCTCTCACCCCCTCCCTCTCCTTTACAAGCCCCAGTAAGAGAGAGGGTGGGGGTACAGGGTATTGACGCAAAACAAGGTTTCTATCTAGACAATGGTTCTTGGTTTGTTTTACACTATCAGGGAACGCTATACTTTTGGCAAGTCTTATGGTTTACTTTATAAAGTTTTGTAAACTGAATCTTAGAAGATATATATAACTTTTATATAACTTTTATTGACATATAGTATCATAACATGATTACATTAGTCAGAACTATGGTAGACTACATATCTAAACTACAAAACACCAACTAAACTAAAACTACAAAAAATATATAAAAATATATAAGGTAACAATAATAGTGTGGTGCACACACAATGCATTATGACCACGCTAAATTCTTAAATGAATGGTAAATGAATTTGCCAATATGTCTTTGCAAGGTTACATTTTTACTAGAAATAAGATTGACAAATAAATTTTCACTTTGTAAATCCAAGTTAGGTAAAATTTCACAGGCTTTTGTATATAATATTTGCCTATTCTCATCATTTTTTGTACAAGCTAAAAAGAAATGACATTCATCCTCTACATCTTTACAAATATTACATACTCTTTCCTCTAAAGGTTTTGGTTTTGGCTTTGTATGTCTTCCAGTCTCAATTGCTAACTGATGAGAACTCATTCTAAATCTACTTGTAGCCAATCTATACTTTTTATTATCTAGTTTCAAGTACAATTCTTTACCAAAATCATTTTTAAATAATTTGTACGTTCTCAATATAGGATAAGTGTTCAAATCATTTTTCCATTTTTCTACAAACAATATTTTTAATTTCTTTTCAACCATATTCACCAGATTTTCAGTATCCAGATTTTGATTATTCCAATAATCTAGTAAATCACATTTTCTGAGTATATCATAAACCTTGCTTGACCAACTTTTAAACCCTAACTCTTGATTACCCCTATCATATAAGTATGCTTGATTTAATACATTACTCTCTGGAAAATTTTGAAATCTAAGCCAGTATTTTATAATGTAAGATTCAATTTTGATTGATAATGGGTATCTCCCTAGGTCGGCTTGCAGTTTGTGATTTAACACCTAATGTTGACTTTAAAAAAGACAGAAGATAAAGAGTGCTAATCAAAATAAAGAAATTCTGCTCTTATAAGGTAAACTGATTGTTTTATGGGTTTGTGGTTGATAGCAGCTGGATAACAATTCCTGTAGGAGACTATCTCTTCATTCTTTGGGGATGATCCTGAATGAAGTAGCATCTAACCATAATACAGTATCTTACCTTATACAGAGTTTGGGTCTGTGAAATGGATAATACATAATGATGTAAATTATATAAAAGTCCATTTACAGTTTTGATGTCTTTCATTAGGTCTTTGTCCCATCCCCATATATATTTCCTTACTGAGACTTATGTACACATGTTATTTTGAGGGGGGGGGGTGAGAGTTCAATGAAAGACTGAAATTAAGAATACCAAGAATGCACTCTATCAGTTGGTGTTTTTCCATTGTGGTATCCATAACCTCTAGTATCTCTGATGTTAGATAAAGAGATACTCTGGCATTGATCAGAATATTTTTTATCCTTTTTTGTCTTCAAAACTGGTTAGGGAAATACTTGACGAAAGATAATAAAGCAAAAATTGCGACTTCTATTTTTAATGATGGGGTGAAAATTGATTCATCTTGGATGACTAGTAGACAAATTATATGATCACTGCACTTTGTTTGGGGGGATGTTTTACAACCTATCCTTTCTTTAAAAGTATTTCCAGGAATATTCTCCTCATTGATGCGTTCATTGACATTTACATCAAAGACTTACCAGATCACTTAGTTTCCCGCCTGCACTTTTCCTAGAATGCTATTACTGAAATGTCTTCTATATTCCTAACTTTATTACATATCATGTTGATGATTTATTTTATATCTAAAGGATATGCACTAGAGGCAAATGATTATAATCTTCAAATTCAAGTTGAGGAAATACCGTGCTTGGTGTGGGAGGGGGAAGAGTGTCTGCTTTTGATGAAACATGATTTATTCCACAGACCACGTCCAAACTTCTAGGCATTCATCGTTCTTCAAACCAATATCTGGTATTGTTTGCCCATATTGTACAACTGCTCCATGCTTGCATATACATTGGGAAGAATTGATTGAAACCTGATAACATTTTGATGTAGTCATCCTGGGGATATAACAAGAAACCGAAACTGGCCAGATAAAAAAGGAAAAAAAGGGAATCCTAAAACAATCATTCTTAGAAAATATTTCAGTTGCTATTTCGTGATTGTCTTTCTCACTCACATTTATATCATGAGGAATGTGGGATCATAACTGTCATAACGGACTAAGCATTAGATATCAAAATACAAAGTTACCAAGGTGAGGTATGTCTATATATGTCTATCAAGGTGAAGTATTTACCTTGTAGCATTTGTGGTTGTAGCCCAAACATGGTGAATTTGAAGCTTGTGGTTAGCCTCCACAACCTCCCTTGAAGCAGACCTTGGTGCAGCTTTGGTGTCTCCTATTGTGACTGCCAGAAGTTGTGTGTCTCCGACTCTCTGTGTCTATACAGGAAATTTACAGGGAATGTTATAAGAAGGATGTTGTACAGGGAGTCCAGGAAATAAAGTTACAAATATTTTAATCTTTATAGATTCACTGGTTAATGAAATCACGGGATGAAATTCTGCACTTGAGATGAAATTGCTACAGATTGTAAAAGTAGAGTAAAATGATTGCCATAGTCATGTAGGTGAGAGGTGTATTCACTTCCCGGACACCCCTTACAAGATATGTACACAATACAAATGAAACATTTTGTACTCCTATTTTTGTTTACTTCAAGACCTTGCATATCCCCCCTTTCAGTTGGAGAGTTAGAAGGGGGGGGGGGCTTGATGGTGGACAGGGTCTGGAAGCAAGATTTTTTTTCTCGTAGATTTGGTCAAGATTCAGAGTATGGGTTTATATATAGCATATTCCCTCTCTGCTGATTTGTATGAAGACTTACACTTAATGTTATGTTGCTGGTGTTAATGGAAGCTATTATTATTATTTGGCCTCTCTCAGGTTTTCTAGAGAATCCTAGATAATTCATGTCTGATTCATAGATCATCGATATTTTACAGTTTAAAATCAAATGAACAGAATTTTTATTTTATATGATAAACAATCAGTATATACAGAAAAAACACACGAATAGTAATATTATCTACATTTTTGATTTATGTCTTCATTTGTGAACCAAAATGCCAATGTCCATGAATGGTTTAGTGATTGAGTTTGGTATATTGTTCTGCCATAGGTAAGGTAAGGTATCGTAAAGGTTAATTGTATATCCAGGAAGTAACTTGCCCTTATACCTGCCTGTACCGTATATAAATCTCAACTGTCTGCCTTTACCTTCCAAATATATCATAACACAAGTTTATTAACACAAAAAGTGAGTGTATGGCCTGGTTAGATGCCAAACTAGTTATACGTGTAAGTTATTCATTTTAAAAAAATAATGCAATTATGATATTTAAGAATTTGAAAAAGCAAAAAATTAAGCAGAATGTCTGTGAAATCTCGAGGAACTACATTTCGTAAAAAAGAAAACCTTAGAAGTGATTGAAGAATTAGAAAATACATTTCACCTTTTGAATATTTTCGTTTATGATTTGATCAAGATTTTCATGAGTATGTTTGAGACTAAAAGATAAGGGTCTGTTAATATATTATTAAAAACCAATTCCTCTAATCATTTATCGATAAGTGTTTTGGCACTCAAAAGGTTTCATTTATTTCAACTTTAAAAGTAGTCTTAAATATATGTCTTGTTTGTTTGTCTTTTGAGCTAATGTTATCAACAGTTTATTTTGGGAATTTAAATGTAAACGTCCATACATTTAATCAGACTTTTAATTTTAAAGAATTAGCACATTGAAAATTGTTCAGTTACATTATTTGGTG